ACCCCTGTATTACAGTAAAGTATTACTTTTTCCTGTAATGCAGTAGTGTAAGGCACTACATTTTCAGTAATATTTTACTCTTTACATGTTCAGTAACGCTTGCGTTACAACAAACTTATGTTGCTAGACATAACAAATAAAAAAATACAGCAAGTAAGTTCTATTTCCTGTTCGTGGTTAGTGAATATACGCGTGTGTTGTCGTCAATCTTCCTCTATGGCGTAATTTCACTGACAAATGTCGTAAGCGCAGTATTACAAGTCGAGAGCGTATTCATGTAATACAAGCAAGCAATTTCCTCTGTTCGTGGACAAAACTGCTCGCGAACTCCCAAATATACGCTGCCCGCGCGCCTTACTTCTCGCGCACACTCAAAACACTGGCTGCTTACGTGCGAATGATGTGCTCTTCCTCCGTCAGATGATGCAGACTCAATTTGTGCATTGTTTCCTCTTTTTGTGCTTTTGCTCTCCAGAGATCCTCTTGTAATATTGGTTATCCCAAGAATTGATATGGTTTATTACTACACTATTTATTAACAATACATGAAAAAACTAAAAGGTTAAGGTAAATTCTATAATAATTACTAGTGTTTTGACGTGTTAGGTATACTGCCTAGTGCCTAGTAGCCTATTATTTACAACTTGTTAATGAATGTTTCAGCATACTCTAGTATTAAGAATAATGAACTTACAAAATTAAATACAAAGTGTAGTTTTACTACAGTTAAGTGTGGTGAATTGTAGTATAATATACCTTATATTGGAAAAAAAAACAGCACTGGGTAATTTGTTTATATTACACTTGTTGTGTTACCATATAGTATTACTACAACTGATTAATTGAAATACTGTAGTACGGTTCAAAACACTTCATGCTAATATACAGGTTCAGGGGCCCTGTGGAACAGCTTCTCCTCAAAATGAAGAGGATGACAGGGAAATTTCCTACAAAATCTCATCAACAATGTGGAAGACAGCAAAGCTTTTTCATGTTTTTGTAGTTGCTATGATAGTGACATTTGTTTGAAGAGGGAGTAGTAAAGTAGGCTATAATACCTTATTGAGTTTTGTCATTTTACAGTGTTAAGTTTTAATTCTGTAGTTACTGTATTTTGGTGATAGTAGCCTCACTAAAAAGTAATATAAGAGGTATGTAACATATTACAATTTTGAGACAGTAATATTGTAAGGTAAGGGATTACTTTTAAATAAGTTACAAGTAATATGTAATGTATTATAGTTTGGAAGTAGCTTGCACAACACTGGTTAGCACTGTCGCCTCACAGCAAGAAGGTTGCTGTTCGAGTCCTGGCTGGGCCAGTTGGCATTTCTGTGTGGAATTTGCATGTTCTCCCAGTGTTCACGTTTTTCCTCCGGGTGTTCTGGTTTCCCAGAATTGTATGATGGCACAGCGGCAGTCAAAATGGTCAAAATATTAAAAAAATGACAGAGGCAGCCACGCATATTTTCATGTTTTAAAACCACGAGTAAAGCTGATAATGCAGACATCCCAAGTCTCCCGGAAGTTCCACAAGTCTCCTGCAAAAGCATAGAGACTCCTAGATGCCAAAATCTCCCTTGCGAAAATCGCGCATCTCCCTCCCAGTCCTCAAATACGTCGCGCACCCCTCACCACCGCATCTCTCCTTGCTCTTCAGACACGTCGCACACACTCCACCACCCGCAATCCCCGTCTTCACATAAGTCCTGCACCACCTGTTCTTCACATACGTCGCGCAACACCCCAAACCCCCTTTCACATTCTTGCAACCTACCGCAAATCATCTCTGTCTCTTTCTGAATTGACTTTTCCCAAAATGGGATGTCCAATAATAAGCTTGATCAAGCGAGATCTTGAGAAGATGAAACTGCGTGAATGGAAGACAGGAGCAAAGTGATCCCAAGTCAGCAGGAAAACATGACAGAAGAGTTAACTGCGGGTGTAACGGAGGCCAGCCAGTAGGTGCTGTGCAGGTAAACCTCACTCCTCTGGTCTTTAGCCTGCTTGTTAGAGCAACAGACTCCCATGTGGAAAGTTGCTGATTCGATCCCAGCTCGGAGTGGGTTGGGCGGTGTAGGAGAGGCGGGGTTAAACAGGCTCATCTTGAAGATTAGACTGAGTGAGTCATTTATTCAATTTTTTTGTTTTTCACATGGCACATAATGGTGAAGTGAACTGAATAGTGATTGTTTATACGATTTATGTTTGTAGCTGCATGTTTTTATGATCCATGACTGACCTATAACATTATATGGCACAAAGTAATAAAAGACTGTTCAGAAATGTGATGCTTTTTTTTGCACTATCACCATTTAATGACGTCTTTTCCCGGCAGGGCCGGAGTGGGACACCTTTTCAGCCCTGGAGTTTCAAGCCTCAGACCGGCCCACCTCAGTTCACGACTGTCTATATTAAAATAAGGTCATTTCCAAATCAGTTTCTAAAGACACTATTACGTCTTTTTTTGAGAAAACAGCTGTTTTAGAACTTCAAATGTTTAACAACCCTAACAGTATTATATGTCTTAACAATAAAAATGAAAACAAGTAATTTCTCTAATGAGGATCGAACCCAGGTCCGCGGCATCATAACCTAACATGCTAACCACTGGACCACAATAGATAAATTTAAATTTAAAAAGTGTGACTGCTGAGAGCAACAGATTCTGGAGCTAGGGACACCGGCCCTCGCAGGCAAAAAACAGACCGGCCCACCGGGAATTCTCCTGGTCCTCCCGATTAGCCAATCCGGGCCTGTTTCCCGGAAAACTGAAATTGTGTGGTGGACGTTGGTCACGATAACATTTATTTCCTGGTTTCGTTCCTGGAATTATTCATTTACAAATAAAGCACTGGCTAGAGAGATGTTGAGGTGCCATGATGGCTCAATTTGTGTATCTCTCTGCTGATTCTTTTAATATGTTATATTGTTTTATAAATTCGGTACTGAAATTATTTTAAAAAATGTAAATTTTCCAATAACCCATAGCATTCACCAGTGCTCAACAGAAACGACTGTGATTGACTGTGAAGGTCATCAGTTCACCGCACTTCACCGATGTTTACGGAGTGCAAACAGAGAGCAATCAACTGATCTTCGCGGTTTTAAAATGCTCCAGTCTCCGTATATCTGTGTTTGCACTCTGTGAAAAGCGTTGAACTGATGACCGTCACGGCTTATCACAGTCGTTTCTGTTGAGCAATGGTTAATACTATGACAAATCAGCCGTTTAAGAACGCGCTCAGCTGCACTTAAAGGTTAGGGGGAAATGGATGTTTTTAGAATGTCAGTACAAGGACAACACTATTACAGAAAACACGAGGATGTGCTACAGAGGACTGCATTGTTTTATCACTCACCGGGTTACTTAGGCTGAAGCAGGGAAGCGTTGTCACGATGTTTACCTGGTGCCATGAACTAAAGCCTAGGAGGACACTCAAGCGTTTAACTCTTAAAGAGATTGTGATTTTGTTTGATGCCTAATATGCTATTAATTGTTTAAGTAAAAGGTAACTGGATGATAGTAAAGGGCACCTATAGTGAAAAATCTACTTTTCAGGCTGTTTGGACAGGCATGTGTGTAGGTATAGTGTATAGACCGTCATATTAGGGTGATATAAAACACACACAGTCCTTTTTTTATTTTTTATTTAACAACATAAAAACGGTGAACCAATTGGAGCTGTTATTAGATCGACCGCAAGTTGATGTAGGAGTGCGGTCCCCCCGCCCACCAATATTAATTGACAGCCGCGCGTCACCAGATCCTCAGTCCACCATTTTCAGAGTGAAAGTCAAAGCGATGTCACTAAAGGGAAGACCCTTGCTCTATTTTTAGATGTAAAGCTCATTGAGCTCAACACAAGATCAACATTCTCCACATGATTGCTGTAATCGGAATTATTGTTTGTAACTTAGTTTGTTTGTAGGTAGGTTTGCAAACATGTGTACTTTTCATTGCGTCTACCTTAAACTTCAGCCGTTTTTTCACAGAAGCTCCCTGTGATCTTACTAGGTGCAGCTGTAAAGTGTGAGCTTTCTGTCAGGGTACACACAACGGCACTTCCAGCCAGGGGCTGCCCAGCCACATTTCGGGACACTTCATATTGCTGCCGCGCCACAGAGCTCCATCTGAATAGTTTCATTTTAAATAACATGTGAATGAGCATGTCTGGTGTTCCGTGTCGCGGCTCTGAGTGGCGCAACTGCAGACATCCCAATTTGGAAAAAGTCATTTCTGGGGGATACAGAATTGATTTGCGGGAGGTAGCGGATTAGTGGGTGCTCAAAGAGCCAGGGGGGAGGGGATTTGAGTAGTGAGCGACGTATCTGTGAAGGGGGGCGTGTGCGCGCGAGACGTACTTGAAGAGCGGTGGGGGTGAGTTGTGCGCGACGTACCTGAAGAGCTAGTATGGGTGCAGTGGAGAGAGGGGTGTGCAACATATTTTAGGACCGGGCAGGAGATTATCATTCATTTGCGGGCATCCGGTAATGTCTATGCATTTCAGGGATACTCCCGCAACTTCCGGGAGACTTGGGATGTCTGCATCTGGTGCCTCAGTCAAAGTTAATTCAGTGCGCATGGTTATTAGTTTTGGTGTACAAGCTCGGAAATTTAAACTAGCAGTTGGCTGTAACAGTTAGCTGTTGTTGTTATTGTAATTACAATACATTCAGTTAAATAGACTTAAGCATTCATTTTGTTGTTCAAGCGTAAAACGGTATGAAAGACTGTTGTAACAACTACCGCTGTCATTAGCAACAGGCTAACGCAGAAATTACATTGAAAATACTGGGGTAAAATAAACTGTCATATTTTAAAGACATGACAGGGGGAAATTGGAATTTAATGTTGTGCGTCGTGTCTGATCTAAGACCCACTTCATATCGTATACCTAACAGGCAGTGAATTTGAAAGAAATCAGATCTTAAATGGAACAGTTTTGTAATGGAAAGATAGGTCACCAGAAGCTGCCGGGCTGCCTGGCTGAAAATTAAAAGTCCATGTGCATATAGCCCATTATGGATTTTGGAGACACTTAAAAGATAATAAAAATAAGAAAATAAAAATTGTCCGAAATAAGTCAAATGTTTATGTTGCAATAAGTGAAGTAATCACTTCGATGTTTCAAACAGCCTCTGTGAAATTAAAATGTGAAAATATGGTCAAAGTAATTTCCCATTGTCATTTAGCAAATTAGCACAACAGATATATTAATGTAAAAATGAAACAACATACAAACATGAAACTATAAGTTACCACATAAAATTGTTTTACATTTTAAATGAGAAAACTTATCGCTGACAAATACTTCAGGCTTAGTGGCGTACAGTATCCACATTTGAGTTTTACTGTACTGTAGATACAATGAAGTAGCTCATTTTCCATTTTCAATGCACTGTACTGAAGAAAAATACCCATTTTTATTCAAATATACATAAATTCAATTGTCTTACCTTGTTTTGTTGCAGACATTCATGTCAGAAAGCTGAATCAACTTGTAATGCTTGTTATCTGTGCTCACAGTCACTCATGAGAGAGCTCTCTCTCTCCCTCTCTCTTCTTATGCTTTAATGAACAGCTTCAGATTCATTAAAGTAACTAGGAAACACATCGAGGTTATGATGTCACATGCACCTCCATCAGTTCTTCCCAACTACAAATTAATATTAGAAACAGAAATAACCAGCATTATTGTTCTTTGAGAGTTAGAGGTCAACAAACCCAATCAAATCAAAAGACGATCTGATCCGACAACTCAACAAACGTCGTCGAAATGAAAAGCTGCTTGGTAACAGACCCCCATATATGCAGGATAAAATGTGGCTCGGTGGGTGGGACTGTATAACGCTGTATTTACATGATAAAGGCTCGGCCTGTGCTCCTCTGCCATTCAATTGCATGCAAGATCTGAATTACCTATGACCTGCTTTTCTCATCTGCTCGAGTCCTGTCTTACACAAACACACACTCTCTATTATTCCCACCTGTTTTCAGAGGTGTGGTTTACTGATCAAAAAGAACAAGATTTCACTTAGAGACGCGAGACATGCAAATGAGAAGATGGGTTTTATAAAGGTACTTAGCACTGATTCATTCATAAATGGATTTCATGCTCTTGTGTTACCTTGTATGGCTGTATTGTAGTAAGTACAGTGTATTTAAAGGGGTCGTTTACCTAAAATGAATATTTACTTACCAGTGGCGGTTCTAGTTTAAATGGCACCCTGGGTAAAGCCACCCCAAACATACCCCATCCCCCCCAAAATAAAGACACTATGTGGTTGAATTTATATATATTTAAAATATTGAAATATATATTTAATATATATACATTTAAAATAATTATTATAAATAAATAATAAATAAATTATAAATTTCAATAAATAACAACTTTTCTGTAAAAAAAAAAAAAAGCTGTAAAAATACAGGGAAAACTTCTGTATAATTATGAAAGAACTTACCATATTTTTATTTTACAGCAATTTTACCCGTATTTTTGGTTACGCACAACATTATGGGAGCAAGAATCTCAGCATGAGAAGCCGAGAAAACATACACATGGAGTCCTGCTTTTTGCTGTTCTCAACATCACCACATTCCTCCAAGGCTGATGGAATTCTTGATTTATGCTTTTCTTTTTAACAAAAAAAAAAAAAAAAAGACAATAGTCTTCTTCCCTGGGTCTAGCGATACCGTTTTTTCATTCTGAAATGTTTTACTTATGAGGTAACTTTTATGAAGTAAATTTTATGAGATACTGATACTTTATGTTTACATGCTCACAAGAAATTTGTATGTTCTATGTAATTTTGTTTTTGCATGTGCATATAATTCCCTGTTTATTTGTTTAAAGAGCAATATATATATATATATATATTTATATATAGTAAATACAAAAAATAACAAAGGGAAACGATTATACAAATATAACTTCATGTAATACTAACCTTTCCTCTTTTAATTTCAGCGCTCATAGTTTTCTTCTTTTGCAATGAATTACTGAATGCAATGCAAAAAAAAAAAAAAGAATAGTTTTGTATAATAAAAGTTTTGTGTACATCGTGCTTTATTTGTTGTACTATGTTTGGGAAGCTAAATTGGCCTTATAATGATATTTTAATGTACTTTAGCAAAAAATTTTGGGTAAAGTGTTTTTACAAATTTATGTTTCTACATAGTCATTTAACAGAAAAAAAGTAAATTGTTCTGAGGATTTACTGTAAATTTACTGGATTTTCAGTTTTTTTTTTTTTGTTTTTTTTATGAAGGAAATTCCGTTAAAAAATGGAAAATGTACTGGCAGAAAATGACCAGTATATTTTTCAGTTTTTTTTACAGAATTTCTTGTTTACTAAAAGAAGGAAATTCCGTAAAAAAAAAAAAAAAAAAAAACGTAGAATATGCTGGAAATTTTCTGCCATTCATCGTTTTTTTACAGAATTTTTTTTACAGTGTTGTTTATTATTATTATTATTACTATTACTATTATTATTATTATTATTATTATTATTCTAAATAACAGTAAAGACTTTACCATGAATATTCATTATGACAGTTCTATAGAGTACAAACAATATATGTTTTATAGAATTATCTGTTGTCTCTGACCTGGCTTATGGCCGAGAATTAATGTTAAGAAGTCTTATTTACCTTCCTGACTCATTAGGCATCGGCGTGTCAAACAGGTTTGGACTAAAAAACTAGTTATTTAGGTTTCGATACTTCCTGTCAGCTTGCAGGTATTTGTAAACTGCTCTGAATTTGAACAGTAGTAAAATAACTTAAAATTTTCAAGATCTTTTTGCATTTTGCATCAAATTATAGCACATACAGTAGTATCGAAAAGAACCGGTATCGATAAGTGATATCAGCCTGATCTCACGAAGAAACAATTGTATTTTACGTTTTGAAAGTTTAGTGGCTAATTCCGACAAATTCGTATGAGTTTAGTCGTACGAAAATGTACGATTTTAAAATGGAGGCGTGGCACCCAACCCCACCCCTAACCCCAACCGTCATTGGGTGATGAGCAAATCGTACTAAATTGTACGAATTAGATTGTACGAATTCATACAAATTAGCCACTAAATCAAAAAGTTACGAATTACCGTGAGATTGTGTTGGCAATATCGATATCAATATAAATCAAATCTAAATGAAACCCATCCCAAGACACTGAAAGCGCATGTGCATATAATGCATCCAGTTAGGAATTGATTACTTTTTAAAATAACATTCAAACAGTTCCAATATGCAGTATATGTAGTGTAGCACATGAGTAACCCCACGGCTTGTGTTGTCTTTGCAGGTGGTGTTTGCTGCACAGCATGGAGAGCTAGTAATACTGCTTTTATCAGATCAAAGAGCTGCGCAGTGATGTTTCGTAGGAAAAGAGACTCCAAAGGTCATGTCAACACACTTTTCCACTTCTGTGGATCATAAACCTGCTGTGTGGCTTCCTATGTGATGCTTAAGCAAAATGGAAAAAGGAAACCATTCCCTGTGTCAGCAGCAAGTGGTCAATATTGTAGTCTTTTTTTTCTGTGAAAGCCAATTTCACATGGTGGAATAAATTTAATGCATTAAATACCTTTTTATATTTTGGAACATAAAGCAAATTAGACGCTTTAAAAAAATCAACCAAATGATGAATAATGCACACACATAATCTATTATCTGGGGTAGGTAAGTGTCTCGTGTACTGTATATACAATAATAGATCAGTATTGTGAAATAATATTAATAATATACTGCAGTTTAAAATAACTATATATATATATATATAGTTAGCTGGTGGCACAGTAGGTAGTGCTGTCACTTCACAGCAAGAAGGTCACTAATTAGAGTCCCAGCTGGGTCAGTTGGCATTTCTGTGAGGAGTTTGCATGTTCTCCTCGTGTTGGCGTAGGTTTCCTCCTGGTGCTCCGGTATCCCCCACAGTCCAAAGACATGGACTATAGGTGAAGTGGATGAACTAAATTGGCTGTAGTGTATGTGTGTATAACTCTAAGGGCCTACTCACACTATGCTATCCGAACTGTGCTTAGGCCGGTTTCCCGGATAGTTTGAGAAGTGTGAGCGCGCTGAATCGGGCTCACGCACGGTTCAGTTGGGCTTAGGCGTGGTACGCTTGTAGTATGAGTGCAAAGCATGCCAGAGCCCGAAACTGAAGAAGAGACATGACTTTTACAGGACTGTTTCATATAGATTTATTAATTATTCTTACTGTTCAACTCCTCACTGCATGACAGCTGCACCTTAAGCAAACCTCCTAAATCCTGCAGCACGTGGACTTCATGATTGTTTATGAGCGTCAAAAGTGGCTGATCTGTTCGGCTAAATATTTGACTGCATGTCACTGCACCTCAAATGACTTTAACGATTTAATAAGGAAATCTCTACTTTGCTGAGTGAAAGCGCTTACTGAACAGCGATGATGTAAGCGTGCCCAGACCAGAATGTAATGCGAGAGCGGGCCATCTGGGAAGACAGGAGGAGGGACAAGCATGCTTTAGCCTGGTTCAAGGCAACTGTACATAGTGTTTGTATGCCCTTAAAGTGCACGTTCATGATTTCCGGAGGCGTAGCTTTGGACAAAAGAGGAAGCCCTGGTGAAAAATCCAGCTTAAACCAGTCTAGGCTGGTTGGCTGGTTTTAGCTGGTTGACCAGCCTGGTTTTAGAGGGGTTTTGGCCATTTCCAGGCTGGTCTCCCGCCCATTTTCAGCCTGATCTTAGCTGGTCAGGCTGGAAAATGACCAGCCAAATCCAGCTAAAACCAGCTTGACCAGCCTGGTTTAAGCTGGATATAGCTGGTTTTGGCTGGACTCCCAGCTTGGCTAGGCTGGTCAAGCTGGTTTTAGCTGGTCATCTCCCAGCCTGACCAGCTAAGACCAGGCTGGAAATGGCTGGAAACCAGCCTGGAAGTTTCCAAAACCCCTCTAAAACCAGCCTGGTCGACCAGCTAAAACCAGCCAACCAGCCTGGGCTGGTTTAAGCTGGATTTTTCAGCAGGGAGGACTGTGTTTCAAAGACACATACATACACAATAGATACATACACAATATATTTAAATAAAATACATCTTGAAGAAGATAAAACTGATTGTCCACTATAATTTCTTGTGTACTAGCAGATTACATAAAATAATGAATTCCACATTTCAGAATGTCCCTGAGTGTTTAAAAACCTGAATGTGCAAAAGCATCTTTGGAGTTCTCCAAGCTTCAGCATTCATTAAGCTCACTCAAGGAAGAAACCTCATTAAAAAGCTGTAATTGGCCAACGTGTGCTGACAGCCTCATTTTCACACCCTTTCCTAGAGCTTGCTTTAGTCACAAGAGAAATCAAAATGCAATTAGTGTATGTGTGTGTACACGTGCCAAACCTGATACAACCATCATGCTTCTGCATTTCCAAACCTCAGCATTGACTGCTTCATCATTACATGACATGCCTCAAAACATTTGCAGTCTATTAAAAACTATGAAGCACTTACATTTCTTTGTTTATGCGAACAAAAATGACTGTTAAGTGTATTTTACTTTAAAGGAATCTTACTGAGAATTCTTCTATGAATGTTCCCTGTTAGCTTGGATAAAATTAAGAAACTGGAATGTCTCACTCAAACATTATAGACCCTCTTAAATAAATAATAAAGAAAGACTAGATATTTTATTCTTACCCTGCTGAAAAATACGGCTTAAACCAGCCTAAGCTGGCTGATTTTAGCTGGTTGACCAACCTGGTTTTAGAGGGGTTTTGGCCATTTCTAGGCTGGTTTCCAGCCTGGTCTTAGCTGGTCAGGCTGGAAATGACCAGCTAAACTAGCTTGACCAGCCTGGTTAAAGCTGGACATAGCTGGTTTTGGCTGGACCCCCAGCTTGGCAAGGCTGGTCAAGCTGGTCATCTCCCAGCCTGACCAGCTAAGACCAGGCTGGAAATGGCTGGAAACCAGCCTGGAAATGGCCAAAACCACTCTAAAACCAGCCTGGTCGGCCAGCTAAAACCAGCCAACCAGCCTAGGCTGGTTTAAGCTGAATTTTTCAGCAGGGTACTGGTCCCTTTGTGTAGTCCCAAGGTCTGGATAACTTAATAAAAGCATAAAGGAAATTGTGTATTTTTGAGATTGGAAGCTCCTCAGAAGTTTTTGTTTGTGAATGGGATCTTTAGCGTGTGCTTCAGGGCCAGCGTCGTGTCCACCTGTTCAGCGGACAGTAAAGTGTGCCACTGAGCCACAGGCTTGCGTGGATTGGACAGCATATCGGCCCAGTGGCGCAGCTGGTTTCCTGTGGCATCACAGCCCAGATAGATCTTGCCGATCGCGTCATTCCTGCTCATCTTGTCATGATCCCACACTGAGATGACCAGCTGGACTTTCTGTTTGAAGAGTAATGAGTAAAACAGTTTACAGAGAGGAAAAAAGCTAAACAGACTGTAAAAAAGGGTCAATCCAGAGTCTAAGGCCTTGTTTACACTGCCAGGTCTTGATGCCCAATTCCGATTTGTTGCCTATATCTGATTTGTTTGCATGTCTGTTCACACGTTGTTTTAATTGTGACCCATATCCAATTTATGCGTTTACACTTGCCATACACTTCATGTCACGCATGCATAAAGGCGGGTTCTAGCATCTGTGCCACACTAGCCATTATGGAAGAAATTGTCTTGTTTTTAGCTGTGCCCCATTCTGTAAAGTGCTTTGAGTGCCCACAAAAGCGCTATATAAATGTAAGGAATTATTATTATTAATTTAAATCTAAAGTTCTTCCCTTATCTGAGGACAAACTGCATAACGAAATTAGGGCCTATAAAAAATATGACAATTGAAAATATTCTTTACTTTAGATATTTGCTATCACTCACCTGAATTTGTTCAAAAGACACATCAAAAGTGAAAGACTCATTAAAGTACGGATTGAGCGTCCGCTTCTTCACTGATGTTTTCTTCTTTTTCCACTTCTTTTTTTCAAGAATCAGTTGTACTTTCACATAAGGGTCTAGAATCAAAAACAAAACCAATAGTCAATTTCTATGCCAAACCTAAAGATACCTGCTATACCATACATGATGTACCATACTATAGATACCCTTTGGGAAGGGAGCCAAAAAAAAGTGGTATGGTAGTGTTTGTTATTTTCGCCAACCTGATTTCACCAAGTAGGACCTGTTCCTGGACTAACATCTATGTTGATCCTGGAACAACATTTCAATCAGCCAATCGGAATTAAAGGAAACGTTTACCGTTTATGTTAAGGATTAGGTTTATGCACTTCTACATACCTATTTCCCACTGACTTTGGGAATAATTCACAGTTATGGTTGGGTTTAGAGTTAGGGAATAGGTATGGATTACATTTTTAAACAAAAATGATGCTCCAGGATCAAAATAGATGTTAAGCCAGGATCGCATAATACTTGGCAAAATTATGATGTTGCTATTTTAGTATCACTAACAGTGGAAACGCACATAAATGTGTACCATACTGTACCATATTAAACCATAGCGCTCAGTGGAAATGGGCGATTTGTACAAAGGGTGTCCAAACTCGGTCCTGGAGGGCCGGTGTCCTGCAAAGTTTAGTTCCAACCACATTGGGCAAACTGGCGACCGCTGCAATTTTCGCTTTAATTTTGGCTGGTCAACTGTATGGTATGGAAACCTTATATACCTGCTAGACATGCGGAGGAACCTGTCTCATACAGCTGCCATTGCATGGCTCAAAGACACTTTGTCATGTGTAATTTAACACAATTGCCTCTAGGAGTCGCCAATGGAAAAAAACAAAACACACACAAGAGATGCATATATGCCAGGCATGAAGTTGACCAATGCACATTCCCACGTTCATTTCATTGTTACTAAATTCAAACGTGAGCATGAAATCTGGCGTACGCAAAGTTTTTGTGCATACGGAGCATTGATACATGAGGCCCCGGGTCTCTACTTTAACGTCATATTATTTTCCCATCCATTGGTTTGGTTATCTCTATATTATAAATTTAAATGAGGAAACTTTCCTCAGTGTCCGTTGGTCATTTTAGCATCATAAAAACATTAACCTTTATTAAAATTCTGAAACTGTTGCATATAGCCTACATAGCACACTTGTTTTATAATCACTACATAGTTGAAATGTATTTAAGTAAATTGCAATCACAAACTTTGATTAATTATTAGTTGTTGTTTTTGGCAGTGGACTGTTAAGAATAAATGACTATTTAGCATTTAGTTATCTCACCTGAAGAGCCTACCTGGTCCATCTTCTTCAGGTTTTTGGCTTCCAGAATGATCACAGTAAGTTTACTACTAGTCGGGACATAGCGGAGAGAAAAGCAGATCTCTCCCAGATGCTCTTGCTGTAATATGAACACAAAATGTAAGATGCAGTGAAAGGGCACCTTTTTTTACCCCTTTTTCAAGATTTTATATAAGTCTTGTGTCTTCAAAATGTATTTGTAAAGTTTCAGCTCAAAACACCCATTAGATTATTTATTAGATTATTTATTATTTATTATAGCTTTCAGAACACTATGTAGCTGTTTTTGTTGCCTGTGCCTTTAATGCTAGTTCTCCCCGCCCACGGTGCCCACATGCCTGTCAGAGTGTGCCTCAGGCTCAACCTCTGCTGCGTCAGATAAACAGCACAGTGACAGACATGAAGGAACCAGATCTCACGTAACGCTTGTGAGAAATACTACAGTAAAAATGTTCCCAATGATTATTTGATGTATTTGTTATGGAGTTAATTTAAGCCGTTTTGCAAAGTGGTCACACACAATGTCGTTACAGAGTTCACATGCACGCACTCACACACACACACACACACACACACACACACACACACACACACACACACACACGCACACGCACACACACAAACAAACAAACACAAACACATGCAGCATGTGCATTTAACATGCTTTTAATGACTTTCTTTATTTTTATTACATTTCAATTTAAAAATGTGTTTTAGTTACCTTCATGTTGTTCCAAATCAATACAGTCATTCTGGACACAAATGAAGATATTTAAGATTAAATCTGAGGGCTTACTCATCCTCTATAAGCAGTCCAAAAAGGTACCAAAAACAGTTCAATTGAAATATTATCAAGCTAAATAAAGACTTTTGTGTACACATAAAACAAAAATACTAACTTATTCAACAGTTTCTTCTCCTCAGTGTCTTCATACCCTCTGAATGCCTTTGGAAACACTGTTTGCAACTTGTTTGAAGCACAGACACATTTGAGGTAATATGCCAGAGGTGCGACAACGAGTGATATCTGAATGCTCCCGATACTGACACTGAGGGAAAAAACTGTTGAATAAAGTTTTTATTTTTGTTTACTCTGCACGCAAAAATACTCTTGTTTCTTGAAAACATGCAGATTGTACCACAGAATACAAATGGACTGTGTTGAGGATATTTTAAGCTCCCCTTTAGGTCTTAATCAACTGGAACTGTTGCTGTCTACGAGATGATGGAGCTCTTAGATTTTATCTAAAATATGTTCATTTGTAATCTGAAGACAAACAAAGGTCTAGGGGTTTGGAACAACATGAGAATGGGTAAAAGTAATAATATCATTTTAATTAATGGGTGAACACTTTAGGTTCTTATAATCCATCAACCATACATATCCTTCATGTTTAAGGGGAAACATATTTTTATACCTGCTACCTAACTTCCAATGGGCTATGCACAGCTAGTGTTTTACAGCCAATGATAAACCTCTGATGAAAGCCTAATGTGAATATTTTCAATTTATTAAGGTTTCTTTTAAAGCATCAATGTTGTAATGTAACTAAAATACATTCAGTTTAATAGACATCAGCAGGCATTTAGTTGTTCAAGCGTAAAATGACCAGGATTAGTAGGCGAGTGCAGAAACTTCATTGAAAATACTGGGGTAAAATAACTGTCATATTTTAAAGATATGGTGAGGGAAATTGGAGTTTAATGCAATGCTTCTTGTCCAGTCTGAGACCCACTTCATATTGTATATCTATCAGGCAGTGAAGATCACAGATTTTTAAAGATATCAGATCTTTAACATGGGGATTTTATAATGGAAAGACAGTTCTCCAGAAGCAAGGAGGCTGAGTGGCTGGAATTAGAAGTCTGTGTGCATATACCCCATTGAATTGTTTACATATACAAACCATATAAAAACTGTACATTCAATCTAAAAAACATGTTTAAGTTGGATTACTAAAGCAAACCTCGTGTTTGGAAGCTTCGCTGAGATCTCTCCACTCTTCAATCACATGATTCCAGTCCACCGTGGACAGATTCAGTCTGATCTCTCCAATAATGTCATGCTTGGAGAATCGGTTAAAGTCATACACTTGCATCACCAGTGTCGACTCGGTTAGCTCCTTTTGAGGGATCTACAATTAGTAAAAACACCTTGTCATTGTTTAGATACTGTTTATTCATAGACTGTAAAACCCAAAAAGTTAAGGTAACTCAAACCGTTTGAGGAAAACGATTGCAACAAAAAGTTTAAGTTCAAAAACAAATCCTAATGAGTACTGTGAACTTGATTCATTTGAGTAAATGAAGGAATTTAAGCACAATAAAACACAATAAATGAAGAGAACTCAAACCAACTGAGGACTGTAAAACCCAAAAAGTAAAGGCAACTCAAACCGTTTGGGGAAACCTATTGTTACAACCATTTGAGTTAAAAAACTAATCTCTATGAGTACTGTGAACTCCATTTAAGTTGGAGTAATAAGGTATTTAATTAAATCATTACCTTGAACACTGAGCTCAAAACTCTTGTCAAATTAGTAGAATTAACTTTTAGTAAATTTTGAGTTAACTACACTCATTTCATTAGATGAAGTTGACTTGGGTTTTACAGTGCGCTGTAAACTCTTACTATAAGCTTGACTGAGTAGCATTGGTCACAAGGTAAAATTTTTCCACATGATTTATGGCCATATCATATAATCAAATGTATATGCTGCTTGATTTACCTGATATTTGAAATTTTCATTGAACACGGGGTTAAGGGTCTTCCTGAAGACTTTTGTCTCAAATGTTTTGGACTTGTTGGGTAGGATGTAGACTTTCACATAGGGGTCAGATGTCCCTCCTGAATCCATCGCTTTCAAAGCAGCGGCTTCTTTTATTCCTACAGTCAGCTAATATAAAATAGGGAACACATAAATTCAGTTCATACCCTATTTAATGCACATGTTTAGTAGGTAATCCAGTCTAGACAAACAAGGGTGATGTTAAAGATAAAATATAATAATGAAATTTTATGTGTTTGTTTGGTAAGTTACTTTGGCACAGCTACTATGACAAAGAATATCTACAGATGCTAGTACACTGGTAAAAAAAAAAAATTATATATATATATATATATATATATATATATATATATATATATATATATATATATATGTATATATATATATATATATACAATACATCACTTCAAATTTTAAACATGTCAATAAAAGTCACTTTTTACAACTTTTCAACATCAAAAATTGTTGGAGGAAATATATATAAGTGATGTATTGTCTGAGTTGGTGTTGTACAAAAGCCTGGTAGTAAAGAGCCAGTATTTATATATATATATATATATATATATATATATTGTTTCTTAGACAATATATTGTTTCAAACCTAAAAAATGTCAATAAGAGTCACTTTGTTAGAATACAGAATAAAATTTTCAACATCAAAAGTTTCAAGAGCAGAGATCAAGTTCCAATAAGGAAGTTCATACTCATAAATAAACCGAATATACCCCAAAATTCGGCAAATGTTACTTAAAGCAGTGGTCCACAGGCTTGGTTGTGTTTATATGTTGCAAAGCAATGTGTGCTCATGCTTAATGCTATTTTTTTTTCATAAATCTTACTTTGATTATATACAGCTACTCAGCTAACATGAAAACGACAGTCATTTTTTCTAGTTCCTCTGAAAATCCAGCCCTCAAGAGGCTCTGATTGGTCAACTAACAATGTGCTGGGATCCGTGGATCTGCTCCATGTCACCACTTCTAGTCCCTACTAGCACGCGCTTTTGCGCTGTGTAAACGGTAGCTGTTAGCCGTATCAGATAGTGCCTGAATCAGATAGAAAATGACACAGATTACACAGCTGAATCTCACACTCACTCTCTAAAATAAAACCTGTGTCTTTCACATATATTCGGGTTATAAGCATGTGTAGGTAATATGAAATGCTCTCACTTTTTTCTTTTCAAGTTTGGTTTTGGAGATGTAGAACGCAGGGAAAGCTGCCGCATTGTAAGACACTGCAACGATGGTGTAGAGTGTTGGTGTTTACAGCGGTTTGACTGATAAATATAAATTTGTAGCTAAATTGTTAGCGGTGCCAAACAGCTTTTTCTGTTATTTACATCATTGTTTACGTCCTTGCTACAACATATTGTTAATGCTAAAAACTGTGCATGTAGTTGATCAATTTTAACAAATAAAAACACTTACAAGTTGTGGCTCACAATCCAAGGCTTCCTCGATTACAGGAGTTTTTATCTGTATCCAGGACTGAACTGGGAGAGACTCTGGAAGCTGTCCTTTGTCAAATGTTAGCTATATCTTTTTTTATAATTCCCTGGAACATAATTTAAATGAAACTAAAAGCACTTCTCTCTTTGGCCTAAATACAGAAACAGAAAAAGCTCTGTGGAAAAGCAGCGTTAGGACATCATTTCTCTGCTGTAAGATTAGTGCCTCTGGCCATGCCCCTTCTCTGCGCATAGTGAATGCGTGTAACCTAACGCCCCTTCACATGGGGCTTCAGCATCAATGCTTGACTGAAGGCGTGTCTAAAGTTGGGCCTGATGCGATCGTCATAGAAGCGTCAGCCAATGAAATTCAGTCAGCAATAGGCCACTGTCTAGCTGGTGTATTTGCATACAGCGGTCTGATTGGCTGACGCTTCCATCGAGCTAGTCCCAACTTCTGCAGCAAACAACACCTCTGAAGCGGCGCCGACGGATTCACAATGCAGTACGGCAACACCTGACGTCACCCATTCAAAGTGTAAGGTAAGGGTTGACACTGATGCCCCATGTGAATGGGGCGTTAGGCATTTATGATCTCACTAACCTGGATGTGTTTTTTTTTGAAGCCCCCAAACTTTGTTGGCTTTAGGCTTTGCTAAGCTAACTCTGTAAAAGCCAGAAGCCCCTTTCACACATACAGACCTTTCCGGAAAATTGCCGCCAATTTTCCAGAAAGGTTGTATGTGTGAACAGGTCCTTTTTGAAAATACCAGTAAATTCGTTCTGGCTATTTTCCGGAAAGAGAAGCAATTTGCCGGAATGCTGCGCTGTGTGAATGCAGAAGGAAGATTCCCGTAATAAGCGCGTGCACGTCTAGAACGTGCTGACGTGAGACGTCTGCTTTAGCCAATCACAACAGTCAGACGCATTTAAGTCTGCGCGGTTTGTGAGGATAAAAGCCTTTGAATATTTTTCCATACACATTTAGCTGCTAGAAGTTAGTCAGATCACGTTTATATGTTCTTCTTAATGCCAACTGTGTAAATAATCATTGATGAGATGCTTATGATAAGCCGTTGTTTGTTTACCTTCAAGCTTTGCGTGCGCCTATGAGCGCCTGCACACGCACATATTATGAACATCTCGACATGCGAAAGTGATCCTGCGAAAGTTGTTCACAATATTGATCATCCACAGAGTTTGTAATTTAGTCAAATGTTTACAAATACAAGCGCAGCCGTTTAAAGCTCATTTGTCGTGAATGATGTCAGAATTTACCGGTATTTTGGAATGGATGTGTGAATGCTCTTTTCCGGAAAATTTCCATAACGTCCTCGCCTGTGTGAACAGCGCTTTTTTCAATATACCGGTAAAGTCGTTCCGGAAATTTTCCAGAAATTTACTGGTATCACTGTGTGAAAGGGGCTAATATAGTCAGTTTCTGTAATTAACCTAATTATTTATGTCCACAAATAGATGAATTTGAGCAAAAATGTGTTTATTGAATGATTAAAAACTTGAATATTCACCTCAGATCTGGATGCATTGAACTCAAGTGAGTACTGCAGTTTTCCTCTCTGCTGGTCAGACGAGCTATATTCAGTGTCCTCCGTCTCAGGCTGGACCTGCCAGTACATCCAGTATGCCGTTACTGAATACCACCCAGGGGAACATTTCATTGCTCAGGGGTAGATTTTCACAGGTTTGTAAGCTTAAGCTCTGAGCTATTTTTTCAACTGCATTGACTTTCTACTAAAAAGTCCCAGCAAGCATTTTTTGTTTTTAAAAGATGTCTAATAGATGTCTAAACATAGTCATCTTGGCTAAAACAAGGCTAAATTTGGGGCTGTCAGTGAAAATCTAAAAGTAGGCCAAGACTAGACTAGTCATCAAATAACCAGAAATGAAGTACACATATAAAGTCTGTGTAATCTGTCTATATGATGATTAGTCTAGTTTTGGTCTATTCTAAGACGTCTATTAGATTTTCACTGACAGCCCAAGTTTAGCCTTGTTTTAACCAAGCGGTCCACATTTAGATGTCTAATTAGGTGTCTATTAAACACAAAATTGTTTGCTGGCGTATGGCCATGTTTTAGCAATAGGAATGCACTCAGCCAGAACTTTCTTGCAAGTGTTAAATCTCTAGGCAAATATGACACTTCCACCAAAAGAAAGCCACATTGCATTTTACTATTTATTTACCACACAATTTGTGATTACTTAAAGTATAGAGACCAGATTGTGGAAATTACGAAAAGAGACATTTTCCTGTTCAATGGTCAGAATAGCATTGAAATATCCCTGCACTGATTATTCATGAGTTAAAAAATGGGTATAGTACATTTTCTATATTCATCTATACATTTTCCTTGGGCTTAGTCCCTTTATTTATCAGGGGTCACCACAGTGGAAAGAACCGCCAACTTATCCAGCATGTGTTTTACACAGCGGATGCTTGTTGGCTAAATGTTTCTTATACATTTTATATTACATATTACAATTTTGGATATTATATTACATTTTGTATCAGAATATTAAAGAAGAAATTTGTTTAAATGTGATTGGTGCCTGCTAAAAAAAAAATAAAAATAAAATATATATATATATATATATATAACATGTTTTCTGCCCTTTTTGTGTTGAATTACTTAATTTTAGATCTTGCTTAACAGTACTGTCATTTAAAAAAATGTAATTTAAACAACAGGGCGAGGCAGTGGTGCAGTAGGTAGCACGTTCGCCTCACAGCAAGAAGGTCGCTGGGTTGCTGGTTCGAACCTCGGCTCAGTTGGCGTTTCTGTGTGGAGTTTGTATGTTCTCCATGCCTTTGCGTGGGTTTCCTCCGGGTGCTCTGGTTTCCCCCACAGTCCAAAGACATGTGGTACAGGTGAATTGGGTAGGCTAAATTGTCCGTAGTGTATGAGTGTGTGTGTGAATGTTTCCCAGATGAGTTGCGGCTGGAAGGGCATCCGCTGCGTAAAAAACTTGCTGGATAAGTTGGCGGTTCATTCCGCTGTGGCGACCCCGGATTAATAAAGGGACTAAGCCGACAAGAAAATGAATGAATTTAAACAACAATATTGAAAAAGAAATTTACTAGCTGATTTAACAATCCATAATTTTGTTAAAGTAAAGCTTTAGTGTTACATTGAGTAAATTAGAATCATTTTAATTAGAATAACACAATACAAACATTTTGAGTCAATTAGTTGCAAAGAAGCTAGACTGACATATTGAAACCATGTTTTATCTACAAATGTGCTTTGTGTTCATACAACATGTTCAAAGCAGTTCAGGTTTACTTGATTGGATTAGATGCATAAAGGGTGCCACGATTAAATCATGTTCATTCGACAAATTTTTTTTTTTGAGTGTATTTGTCATTCTTACGAATCAATTAAGATGCAAATCTACTCATTTTTTTGGAATCCACATTATCAAGAATGGTGACCAACAGAAAACCACTGACCATCACTACTTTACATCACTGACAATTAGACAATGGATCGTTATTCATTTTTTGCCTCAAAATTTCATCCATTGTGCCTGCATCAAATAATTATTATATAAAATATACTCCATACTTTTAGAAAAATAAAAAGCACAAGCAGACACTGACCTAAATCAGACAAATGTTAAAAAAATAAATATACACACATATTTATGATAGTGTATTTAGTGTTATTTGCTTTGAATACATTTTTAGGTGTGACTTTTTAACATTCTGTCAAGGGTCTGCAGATGAAAAATAATTCCCGCACATTTTACAGTATGCTAATGTTGATTAATGTGGTTTGACCTGTAAACAAATAAACTTAACTGAGCTAAGAAGAATAAGGGTTTCTTTTTTGGAAAGGTCTCTCACCAGTGCTGTGGTTGTAGTCCCTGAGATCCCCTTCATGTTGATTTTCTCATCTGGCTTCTTTTTCCTCTTCTTTTTCCCTTTGCAGCAGCATTTTACACAGCAGCATATCACACAGATAAGAATGAGCAGGACGATGGCAGCAAATATAGCATAGATGGCCCATCTTGGCACTGTTATGACAAAAACAATAACAGTCCATCTTACATCACAGCAGCGGTCCAACGTAACGCCATGACATACATCTAAAGGATGAGGTAAAACCACGGCCAGGGGACTTAAGGCAAGTTAAGCTTGTGACAAGTGAAAATTGAGAAGCAAGAAATGTGCGCAAGGGGTGCAATTAGATATGGCGTGGACTGGAGCAGGTGTTAAAGATTCATTTAATATACTCACAAGGAATCCTGTCCAGTAAAGAGGGCAGGAACCCCGGAGCAGCTGTTGTGGTGTTGGTGTGAGGGGTTTTAGTTGGTTTTACTGATGGTCTGGGCGTCATGGTTAAATGGATGAGACTTGTGGGTCACTGGAAATATACATATCAATAAAAACATAGCTGCTGGTAAGTGTTTTGAACATTTTTTAGTTGAGTTAGTAATATTGTTTTGCGACTCCCTCTACTGGTTCAAATGATATTGCAACATTAAGTTAGCAGAGGAGCCCAAACCTTTTCTTATGACGGGCCGAAAACCAAACTTAATTAAGGGTGGTGGGCCAAAGCTAAATATAACTGTATTATATTATTTATGTTCACTAATTTCACATTAAAGGCAATGAAAATAATACATTAATTGACATAAAAGAGAAGTTACTGAACTTATACATAGAAGCCTGAGAAAAATGCTAATTTTAGGACACAACTTCAGGTGGCACTACATATATGTATATATATACATACATACATACATACATACATACATACATACATACATACATACATACATACATACATACATACATACATACATACATACATACATACATACATACATACATACATACATACATACATACATACATACATACATACATATATATATATATATATATATATATATATATATATAGACATATATACATACGTACATACATACATACATACATACATACATACATACATATATATATATATATATATATATATATATACATACATTCATACATACATACATACATACATACATACATACATACATACATACATACATACATACATACATATATATATATATATATATATATATATATATATATATATAGACATATATACATACATACATACATACATACATACATACATACATACATATATATATATATATATATATATATATATATACATACATTCATACATACACATATATATATATATATATATATGAGCAATATCACACTCGTAGCAGTGCGATATGGCTGTATATCGGCAGTGGTGGGAGGCGTATGTTGGCATGAGGCCGCAGGCCGAGTACCTTAGTGCCCCCACCAGTGCCGATATACAGCCATATCGAACTGCTACGAGTGTGATATTGCATTTATATAACAGTTTGCAGCATAATTGTGTATATAAAAACAAAATCAAACATGGAGAGTCTCAAAACCCTTTTGTATGAGGAACTACTTTCTTCCACGTTGGATTTAAATCATAAGCTGACAGTTACAGCTGAGCAAGCAACTTTTTAACTTTAGATCTGTAGTGTCGGCTTTTTACTGGCTGTATGTGGGCGGAGTAATACACAAAGGGTAAAGAGGCTGTACGGGTGCTGAAATTACTTAAATAAATCACGGCTATCAGCCAATCAGATTTGAGAACAAGACAGAACTGTTGTATATGTGTGTGTGTGTGTGTGTGTGTGTGTGTGTGTGTGTGTGTGTGTGTATATACATATATATATATATATATATATATATATATATATACATATATATAAATAATTAAATCGAATCAATAATTACATATAAGTATCTTCTCTGATTGGTCAGTGGGCCAAATCAAAGGCTACCATGGGTCAACTTTGGCCCGCAGGCCCTTTTTTGGGCATCTCTGCTTTAAAGGAATAGTCAGGGCTGGCGCATTCATAGAGGCAACATACGCGGTCGCCTAGGATGGAAAAATAGAGAGGGCGGCGTCCACGACACCACCCTCACCACCCGCGTCCTCAGTGCCCCCACCCCCGGTCTTCACTTTGCTAACCGGTCCCTTTCGTTTTCACTTTCAGGTTGAGGGTGGCATGTTGTCTTTTGCCTGGAGCGGCAGTTCAGCTTGGTCCGGCCATGGGAATAGTTCACCCAAAACTTTCCTGACTTTTTTCAAATTACAGGTGTGAAAACACCCTGCTGAGACAGGAGGGTTTCATGGCCCATGTTTTGTTACAAAGTAGTTTACCTCTCCAGAAAACGAATAATCTTGTTAACCCAACTAAATGTTTTGTTGTATTAATGACAAATAATTTGAGGTCAGTGCAGCTGATGTATTCAAAGTTGAGTGAACAAGACAAAACTAAAGGGAATAAGAATTATGTGTTTTGTTGTTGTTGTACTGGCTTAAATTTTTATACAGTGTTGCTGAAAAAAAGGAAATAACCCATCTCCCAATCTCTCCCCATCTCAGAGATGCAATGTCAGACACAATGCACTCAATGGAGTGACTAGGTGTGGGCATTAAAAAGCAAATTGTCATTTCAGTCTAATATGAAATACAAAATTAGGCACAATCAGAAATTAAACAAACATTAGAGTTATATCAAGCTCCAGAAATAACCATAAAAGTGTCCTGATATGTTTGTTATGGCATGAGGATAGATAAATAAGAGAACTGTTCCTAAGGGAAGCACGTTTGCCTCACAGCAAGAAGGTCGCTGGTTCGATCCTCGGCTCAGTTGGCGTTTCTGTGTGGAGTTTGCATGTTCTCCCTGCGTTCGCGTGGGTTTCTTCCGGGTACTCCGGTTTCCCCCACAGTCCAAAGACATGCGGTACAGGTGAATTGGGTAGGCTAAATTGTCCATAGTGTATGAGTATGTGTATGTGTGGATATTTCCCAGAGATGGGTTGCAGCTGGAAGGGCATCCGCTGCGTAAAAAACTTGCTGGATAAGTTGGCGGTTCATTCCGCTGTGGTGACCCCAGATTAATAAAGGGACTAAGCCGACAAGAAAATGAATGAATGAATGTTCCTAAGGGAAAACTGAAGTCATTATATTTGGGAACAGAGATGAGGTTCTCAAGGTGAATGCGTACCTTGGCACTAAGGTTCAAACAACAAAAAATAAGGTCAAGAATCTTGGTGTGACTCTGGAGTCAGATCTGTGTTTCAATAGTCATGTCAAAGCAGTTAGTAAATCAGCATACTATCATCTCAAAAACATATCAAGAATCAGCAGTTTTGTTTCCAGTGAAGATTTAGAGAAACTTGTTGATGCTTTTATCAGCAGTAGGGTGGATTACTGTAACAGCCTCCTCACGGGCCTTCCCAAAAAGACAGTCAGACAGTTGCAGCTCATCCAGAACACTGCGGCCAGGATTCTGACCAGAACCAGAAAATCAGAGCTCATCACACCTGTCCTGAGGTCTTTACACTGGCTCCCAGTTACATTCAGAATAGAGTTTAAAGTATTATTACTGGTCTATAAATCACTAAATATCCTAGGACCTCAATACATTACAATATGCTAATTGAATACAAACACAACAGATCACTCAGATCTTTAAGATCATATAAAAAAGAAATTCTAAGAGTTCAGTCAAAGCAGGGTGAATCGGCTTTCACTGCTGGAACAGCTTCAAGAAATGATCAGATGTGCTCCAACAGTCGGCACATTCAAATCAAGACTGAAAACACATCAGTTTAGCTGTGCCTTTACTGAATGAGCGCTGTGCTACGTCCGACAGATCACACTACTATACATTTCCTCTTCTTTTTCATCTTTTTATAACCCGTTTTAACGCATCTTTATTAGTTTTTAAATCATTTTTATATTTACTTTCGTCTCTTTTATACCTGTTTATGTAAAGCACTTTGAATTGCCACTGTGAATGAAATATGCTATTTAAATAAACTTGCCTTGCCTTCAATAAAACAATAATAGTTATTAGGAACAAGGTTATACAAGGAAATAAATGCATTAGCATCATAGTTTATAGTGTTTTTTAACTGTGTATAGTTAACTCATTAAACTCTTCTTGGTTACATGACCAAAAGAGCATTTAGTAACCACCAATGTTAAACAGTCTAGTGTTGACAGTCGCCCGCACTCCAGCAAAACTGGGTGTGCTTAAAGTGTACAGATAACATTCTTTTTCAGTGAAACATGGTAATAAAAATGGAACAATGCAAGCAAAATATTTGTGGTCACATTGCAACATTTTCACAACCAAGTCTGTTGCAATGCAGTAAAGAAGTAGTAAGTCACAGCTTTGAGATTAATTAATATTGTACATTAAAAGAAGCATGCATTAATATTGCATAACAGTAACAGATATATTGTCTCAAAATGAGAAATGAAACAGAGCATGAATACACATTTACAACATCAAATGAGCAGAAAAAAACTCACGTTAGTAACACTCACTGTTGGAATAGTTCAGTATGATATTGCCTCCTCAGCTGTAGCTTAAACACATGAAGATGAATTTTCTAAACACATCTCTGAAGCGTGTGAATGTATGCCAGCCACAGAGACGGGAAGGAAGTCACTGCCCACTGCCGAAGTTGGATCGGCTCAGGAAAGAGGCATTATACTACACTAATGAAAAGTCATAACCACTGAGGCTTTAATCATTTGGTCAAACAAGAGTGTAATCAATCTGTTCACTTTTCTTTTTTATCATTTCTTTTTTGTTATTATTATTATTTTAGGGCTTTTCACCTTTATTGGAAAAGGACAGTGGAGATTTTACAGACAGGAAAGTGTGGGGAGCAGAGATAGGGGAAGGATTGGCAAAGGACCTCGAGCCGGGAATCGAACTCGGGTCGCCATGAGCACGTTAGTGCTATGTGTCGACGCACTAACCACTAGGCTATTGGCGCCAACTTTAACCTGTTCACATTTCTATTACTGTTCAGTATTTGGATTGTAGAACCGAAGGCTATAATGACTTTAGAATATTTACATGATAATGAAATATAGAGAAAGAATAAGAAAGACACATAAAAAGGTATTTACATTTACAGTGCATTTGGAAAGTATTGATAGTGCTTCACTCTTTCCACATTTCATTATGTTACAGCCTTATTCCAATTCATTTATTTCCTCAAAATTCCACACACAATACCCGGCCATCTAAGCTGAGGGATTGGGGGAGAAGGGCCTTAGTCAGCGAGGTGATCAATAACCCGATGGTCACTCTCTCTGAGCTTCAGCGTTCTTCTGTGGAGTGAGGAGATCCTTAAGGATAGCTATCTGTGCAGCAATCCACCAATCAGGCCTGTATGGTAGAGTGGCCAGACGGAAGCCACTCCCCGCCTGGAATTTGCCAAAAAGCATCTGAAGGACTCTCAGACCCTTAGAAACAAAATTCTCTGGTCTGATGAGATTAAAATTGAACTCTTCAGAGTGAATGACAGGTGTTACGTTTGGAGAAAACCAGGCACCGCTCATTATCCCTACAGTGAAGCATGGTGGTGGCAGCATCATGCTGTGGGGATGTTTTTCAGCAGCAGGAACTGGAAGACTAGTCAGGATAGAGGGAAAGATGAATGCAGCAATGTACAGAGACATCCTGAATGAAAACCTGCTTCAGAGTGCTCTTGACCTCAGACTGGGGCGACGGTTCATCTTCCAGCAGCATACAGAGCATACAGAAGGGAAAGAGTGTGTCCAACAGGTGTTTTGTCAAATCTGTGTGAAGCACACCAAGGATTGCACACACTGTAAAAAAAAAAATCCTTAATTTTACGGTTTATTTCCAGCAGCTAGGGTGTCGGGAAAAAAAGGAAAATAACAGCCTGATCTTACGAGAAAACGTAAGTATTTTACGTTTTGCCAGTTTAGCGGCTAATTCAAAAATTTTAAAAAGGAGGCGTGGCACCTAACCCCACCGCTAAACCCAACTGTCACTGGGGGATGAGCAAGTCATACTAAATTGTTCAAATTAGATCGTACGAATTCATACGAATTAGCTACTAAATCAAAAAGTTAAGAATTGCCGTGAGATTTTGTTGAAAATAAAGGTAGTTAAATTATAGAAATTTACTGTAAAATAACAAATATTAAATTACAGAAATGTACCTATATTTAAATCTCTGGTAAGTTTCTGTTATTTAATATTTATTAAAAGTTATATTTCTAAAAAGTTAGTTTACGGTATTTAAAATTAATTTCTGTAATTTAAAAAAACATTTCCGGCACCCCAGCTGCCAGAAATAAACCATAAAAATTAAGGATTTATTTTTTTTACAGTGCATGTTTTTTCAGACACATGGAGAGTTGATAAGAAAGTATCTGGCTCATAAAGAGTGAACTGACCTTCAACTGTAACATTTAAATACTGAACTGAAGCAGTTTTAATTTACTACAACTACACCAGTGGTGTAAAGTAACAGTACAAATACTCAAACTACTATAATTGAGTAGTTTTTTTCCTCAGGAATTGTAATTTATTAAGTTTTTTTTTTTAAATGTGTACTTTCTATTGAGTACATTTTAGTGCAGTATCAGTACTTTTATCCAACTACTTTCCTTCAACCAGCAGGCACTACTTTATTTGTTCTTGTCTATGGGGATTACAAAAATCAGTCCTGTGATTCTTGTCCAATTAAATCGCACATAGAAAGTAAATCAACTTCAAGACATGGGTGATTTATAAATGCAGCACACTGTTTGGAAGCATTAATAGTTTCCAAAAAGTTGTCCAAAACCTTCACACGCAATGACTCAGAGACTGTTTAGACTATAAGTGATACGATGACAGATGTCCGAAATGTCCTTAAACAACAACTAAATGCACTACAGAATTTTACATTTACACACACAAATTACATTTAAACGAAAAAGCTTTTCACAGTGTAATACCCACTACTTAGTACTTACTACTCTTGAGTACTTTTAAATAGGATAATTTTTATTCATACTTTGAGTAATATTTACAACAGATGCTTTTTCTCTACTTGCACTACATGTTTGCCCAAGTAATGGTACTTTTACTGAAGTATGTTTTTTCAGTCCTCTTTCCACCACCGCACTCAAGTAATTTTAAACATTTAAGAGTCCCTTGAACACAAAACAAGATATTCTAAAGACTGTTGAACAAAACAGCTATGGGCATGCATAGTATGAGAGCAAAATTTCCTATGGAAGCCAACTGCAGTTGTTTTCTAATGCATTCTTCAGTATATCATCCTATATGTTCAACAGAAGAAACTCGAGCAGATTTGGGACAAGCAGAAGAAGATGCGTAAACAATGGCAGAATCTTGATTTAAGCACCTTTAAGTAGAGGACTCACTTTCACAACTTAAAAAAGGTACATTACTTTTGGAGATTTGCCCATACTCAACACACAATCCGTGTTGATTGACCTAGATAAAACAGTTCTAGAAAGAAGAATGACGTCTATTATAACTGAACTTGCCTTTTCACTCTCCACTCTGTGTTCCAGTCCTCCTGTCAGGCCTTCTTGTCCACTTCTGCGGCATTAAACAATTCAGTCATTGTCTTGTGCTGGAATCCAAAAGTAATTTGACAATAAGACCAGGTCACTCATAGGCAGCTCTTCTCAAAGTGTTCCTTCGGTATGGAAAGAAATGTTAGACACCTGCCACACCTCAATAATACACAAAACTGCCTCTGCATATTCCTGTATAATACTAGGTGCACACCTTGTATGAAGATAAACAGGCATGAGAGAAAAAAAAACCCTATCAAATGCAAGATACTCAAATTCATTTTTAAGGAAGAGCTGAATGAAGTCATTTAAGTGCTGACAGAACTTAAGGCATGAGCTGCTTCCTTCTTGCTTTTTTGATGGTGCTTGATCTGCTGTGATGAGCAGAGAAAACACACAAATATGACAGCAGAAACCAGCCCTGCCACACCAGCTACTGTTTAAATATGAACAGTAACCTGACACATGGCTCAGATCAACCTGAAGTATTTATTTATAATTTTCAACTGCAGTAGTTTATTTAAATCTTTATGTAGTCATTTAGAAAAAATAAAGGTCCCACTTTATATTAAGTGGCCTTAACTAATATGTACTTACATAGAAACTAATAGTTTGTTACAATGTACTTATTGTGAAAATACATGTATTTACTGTGTACTTATGCTTGATTAAATACATGTATGTAATTACATCTGTAATTAACTTTTGTAATTACATTTGTAAATACACTGTTGACCATCCCTTACCCCTTAACCCACCCTTAAACCTACCCATGCTACCAAATCTGTCGATAACCCAACCTCTATCTCAACTCAAAAGCACCACAAGTGTTCTCAAATACATTATAAACACAGTAAGTACATCGTATTTATTTTTTTGATGTAAGTACATAGTAGTTAAGTACACTTAATATAAAGTGGGACCAAAATAAAATATGATAAGAAAATAATGAGGTTGTATTTTCATTTCCTAATATTTATTTTAAAAAAGTCAAGTTCAGTTAATATTTTGATCAAATTGAGAAACTCAATAGAAAAACTGTTTGGGTTTCTCTATACAGGAATCAGAGATTGAAATTCAATACCTTTTAAGATCTTTTTTAAAGACTCTTTGCATACATTTCAAGAGCTCATCATCACTTCAGGTTTCAGCCAGTTACATTGCCGACATGTTAACCTGCAATATATTTACTAAATACTGATTGCAAGAAACGAATCCTAAAACTGTATTTATATACTGAAAAAATGTTCATCAAGCAGGTGGCGCCTTTACAACAGCAGGAATGACCCTGTTTCCCTTGTTTGCTGCAGTAAACAAAGCAGCGTGATATTACCCTTATTAAAAACTCTCTTCATTCTGTTCTTCCTGTTACTTCATTAATTAATGCTTGTGAAACAGTAATTGGAAAAATTTGTTTCTTGCTTTACCCCTCTCTCAGAAATAGAAAGATTCGGCATCTTTTTCAGAATGAAATAACCTCTATTCCTCATGTCATATTTCACTGGAGTAATTTATTTTATGACATTCCTTGGAAGATTGTGCGGTCTTTACCCAACAAATTTCTAATCACAAATAAGGTTAAAGAGGTTTCCTTCAAATTGCTACATAGAGTTTATCCAGTGAATGTTTACATTAAAAAAAATGCTTCCTGAAAAGGATCCCCTTTGTTCCTTTTGCAGAATAATAGATGAATCTGTAGATCACCTTTTTTGGGAATGTGCCCATATTAAGATTTTTTTTTGGAAAGAATTTAGTTTATTTATATGTGTCTCTCATTTATATAATTTTTCTTTGTCATACAAGGATGTTTTATTTGGTTTTTATCATGTTGATAAAGTTAAAGATAAATATTTTCTAATAAATCTGTTTATTTTACTAGCAACATTTTTTTATACATAAATGCAAATTTTTGTCTGTAAAGCCCCTTTTTCTTATTTTTTGTAAAGATTTGAAATATTATTTAAATACAATCTCTACCTCCAGCAATGTTAAAGCTTTAAAATCCGTAAAACTATGTGAATCTTACAATATTGTCTCTTTTTTTATAATACCCAGATGACTGTCAAGCTGGTTTTAGCTGGTCATCTCCCAGCCTGACCAGCTAAGACCAGGCTGGAAATGGCTGGAAACCAGCCTGGAAGTGGCCAAAACCCCTCTAAAACCAGCCTGGAAGACCAGCTAAAACCAGCCAACCAGCTTAGGCTGGTTTAAGCTGGATTTTTCAGCAGGGCGAAAAAAAGAGAAAATAAATTAAAAAAAAAAAAAAAAAAGAGTCATAAATTTTAGGAGGGAGTAGGAGTTTGCTCTAGCCTAGAAGCATATTGTCTAGGGCTGTACCAGGGGTGTCCAAACTCGGTTCTGGAGGGCCGGTGTCCAGGAGAGTTTAGCTTCAACTCTAATCAAACACACCTGACCCAGCTAATCAACCTCTTACTAGATATATTAACTTCCTGGCCTGTTGAAGCAAACTCTCCAGTGTGCTTAGGGTCATGGTCTGTTTGGAAGACCCATTTGTGGCCAAGTTTTAATTTCCCTGCTGATGTCTTGAGATGTTGCTTCAGTATTTCTACATGATGTTCCTTCTTCATGATGCCATCTATGCTGTGAAGTGGACCAGTCCCTCCTGCAGCAAAACAGGAGCCCCACAACATGATGCTGCCGCCCCCCATACTTTACATTTGGGATGGTGTTCCTATAGGCTTGTAAGCTTTCCCCTTTGTCCTCTAAAAACACTGGTCATTATGGCCAAACAGTTCAATCTTCGTTCCATCAGACCACAGGACATGTCTCCAGGTTTTAATCTTTTCCCCAGTGTAATTTAGCAGATTGTAATCTGGCTTTGTTGTTGATTCTGGCTTGTTGATTTTCCCATGTTACACAAGGAAGTGTTTGAGGTTTTCATTCATTCATTCATTTTCTTGACGCCTTAGTCCCTTTATTAATCCGGAGTCGCCACAGCGGAATAAACCGCCAACTTATCCAGCAAGTTTTTTTTTTACACAGCGGATGTCCTTCCAGCCGCAACCCATCTCTGGGAAACATCCACACACACACATTTACACACACTCTCATACACTACGGACAATTTAGCATACCCAATTCTCCTGTACCACATGTCTTTGAACTGTGGGGAAAACCGGAGCACCCAGAGGAAACCCATGCGAAGGCAGGGAGAACATGCAAACACAGAAACGCCAACTGAGCCGAGGTTCGACCCAGCGACCTTCTTGCTGTGAGGCGAACGTGCTACCCACTGCGCCACTACCTCGCCCTGTTTGAGGTTTTCCTTAAATACTATTCAACAGTTGTGCCTCCAAATAACTCAAATGTTGTCAATTAGCCAATTAGAAACTTCCAAAACCTTGACACCATCATCTGAGCTTTTTCAGAGGCAGAATAATCTTATTATTTGTAAACTTGACATTTAAGAAAAGTTATAAAATTTTCTCAAAAGTCTCTCTCATTATTCAACTATTAAGCATAACAGAAACAAATTTGATCCTCCTAACTTACCGAAAAGAGAAAAAGGTTTAGTCACATTAACATCTGACTATTTTTATAATTTTTTTAATGGTCATGTGCCTTTTTATAGTGTAAACTTCTGGTTTCAACTGTAGATAGATGGATGCTGCTCCACAGCGCAAGGTGGCGGTGGATTACATTGAGACTGAGTGACCGACAGTTCCTTTGTTTACAATACAGCGTGATGTGATGCAGGCTGAAAACATATAAATTAGGTACTCACATTTTAACTACACCTTATATATGCTAAGAGTGTCCATTTCATGCTAATGTACGAGCATGTTTGTTTTGTTTTTGTTAAACTTACAGTCGCAATGTTTTGTTCACTTCCGCGTCTTTTAATGCAGGTAAATGACTCGCAGATGTTTTGAGGAGAATGGAAAATAAAAAGGTAATTAACGTTCACGTAAAAACTGACTAAAAGTTACTGCAGTCTCCCTTTGTTATCAAAACAGAAACTCTCATAATGCATCACGTCTTATTATGCAGAATCACGCAGGTCCTCTCATGATTGCGCTGCAACATGATGATCTGTTCGACTTGAACTCAGTCTCCACGAACACAGAACTCCCCAAAGGCAGAGCATTCACGTTTATTAAGGTGGGAATAAAGCTGTTAGATGTGGTTCTGCCATATATCCTGAAGTTTTGTGATGCTTTTGAAATGTTTGCTGTGAATAGGCTGTGCAAACAGTGAACGAGAGACTTGTGGAGCAGAACAAGAACGAGTCTTTGCTTTTTGAAGTGATCCTTATTACGAAGGAGTGTTCAGAAGACGTCAAGATGAAGATAGTAGAGAGTGTAAAGCATTATGGTAAGTTCTCAGTAAGACCACTTTTATATATAAAATAATATGGACTGAAATGAATTTACTGCTTCACAGGGTGCTCCTACGGTGGTTTCCTTCAAAAGGTTTACATCTAACCAAGGTCAAAAACACTTATTTCCCATAACAAACATTTGATAATTTTCTAAATTTCTCAAATGACTCATTTTATGCGTATGGAAGTGTTTGATATATTTTGGGTAATTCTATGTTAACTTTAATTTATTTGATATTTTATTGGGGGGAAAAAAAAATCAACATTTGATTTGAATAATTCAGTCAGTGCTAAATACAAGCAATACTCATGAAATCTGTGAGCTCCCTCAAGCTACATGCACTCAACGGCCACTTTATTAGGTACACCTTACTAGTACTGCTCAGTGTGCATGAAAAAACTTTTTATTTGATAAGATGCGCATAAACTACAATGGAAACGCTTACACGCACAAATTTCAGTATGCGTATTAAAAAAGGTCACATGATTTTGTTATAAGAGATCATGTGATGATGAAAATGTGTGTAAATGGACAAACCAGCAGGCTGAGCACATTGTAAAACATCTAAAATGTTGTTTAGGCCATTCTAAAACACCTTATCGTTTAAGTGTTAGTATTATTATATTATTAATGACCTCCAGAATTAATAGCGTCCCTACTGAAAAATCCAGCTTAAATCAGCCCAGGCTGGTTGGCTGGTTTTAGCTGGTCTTCCAGGCTGGTTTTAGAGGGGTTTTGGCCATTTCCAGGCTGGTTTCCAGCCATTTCCAGCCTGGCCTTAGCTGACTAGCCAAGCTGGGAGTACAGCCAAAACCAGCTATATCCAGCTTAAACCAGGCTGGTCAAGCTGGTTTTAGCTGAATTTGGCTGGTCAATATCCAGCCTGACCAGCTAAGACAAGGCTGGAAACCAGCCTGTAAATGGCCAAAACCCCTCTAAAACCAGGCTGGTCAACCAGCTAAAACCAGCCAACCAGCCTAGGCTGGTTTAAGCTGGATTTTTCAGCAGGGATGTGCTCCGCGTCTAACACCTTGAAACGCCACCGTGTGCGTGTCAGGATTGCCTGACGATTTTGTTCGCTTTGACTCGCTGGACAGAAACGCTGCTTAATTCGCATGTTTTTTATGCGATAATGCAGTTTTGCGCATAAAGTTCATCCGCATTTTTGGATGTAAACGTAGCTACTGAGAGCACACATCCTTCAGTGCTTCAGGTCTTTTCATCTTAGACACATTCACACTTGATTTACCTCTGTTCCACAACAGATTTACAGTATCCCTCCTCCATCCCCAAATGACTCCCTCTATAATTCCTATCCCAGTTAAGGACAGGAGGGAGTAGTGAGTTAAAGCCAAACTCCCAGCTCGATGCTCTCTTTATAGACGATATGGAAAATACTTGCATTCTTTATATAGATTTGGATTATAGTAGTTGCATCTGCTTATTTATTTAATGCCATGTAATCTTTTTGTTTTATTATGTCATCAGATCTGGAAATAGGCAAATTTTACTTTTGCAAAAAGGAAGAACTCAAAAATACCCTTCAGTCGAACAAAGTCAAGCTGTTCCTCTCTACCGACAGGGATGATGTGCATGAAGCACTGCACTCAGGTAGATCACCTCATGATCAAGTTTGGAAATTGTTTTGATGCATAATTTAGCTGTAATAATAAATGTATGCTCATTTTGTTTTCGTCAGGGATTTCAGCCGCTCTGCTGTACGATCAGGCTGATCATCGCGTCCTCAAGCAGCTAAAAGTGATTTTTTCAGGTGATGTTCTCGGTTTCTCCGAGGATTCACTCGAGAGTTATTTGGAATTTGAACTTAGTGAGAAGCAAATTGAAACCGTCAAAGCAGCAAAGGTACATGATTTATTATTTGTATTTCTAAAACTAATTATCGAATTATTTTGGTCACATGGTTAACCATATTACTGTTATTTCACTTTTAGATGTAAGATTCTGTTATTAATTACTCTGAAACCTTCGTTTATCTTCAGAATAGACGTTAATTGGGCTTCTCTTTCTCAATTGACGACTGTTCCATTTATCCCTCTAAACAAGTTAAGAGTCTGGGTGTCATCTTTGACAGCACTCTATGTTTTGATTCTCACATTAATAACATCACCCGGTCTTGCTTAGTTCCACCTTTGCAAGATTAACCGTCTCCGCTCTTCTCTTACCCCTCATGCCACTGCTGTTCCCGTGCATAGCCTTGTCACATCTCGTTTAGATTACTGCAACTCTCTTCTCTTTGGTCTCACTCATATATACCTCCGTAAACTTCAGTTGGTCCTCAGGTGCTCGTACCATCACCAGAACCCCTTCTTCTCATCACATCACCCCTGTCCTGCAGCAGCTTCATTGGTTACCTGTTCATTTTCGAATTGACTTTAAAATCTTGATGATAAAGAGCCCATATTATACATGAAATAGGGTCATATCTTGGTTGTAAGGGTCTCCAACAACAGTTTAATATGCATGCAAGGTCAAAAACACTTTCATGGTCTTATAATCTGCATTTATTTTTACCTAATTATCCCAGCGACTCCCGTATGAATCATCCAGTGATTCATTTGTTCCCAAACCCCTCCTTAGCGCGAAGCTAATCTGCGCTGATTGGACCGATGACAGCCTGTTGCGATTGGTCGACTGCCTTCAGTCAGAGAGTGAAATGCACAACAGCTAATCAGCAATATAAAAGTAATCACAGTTCATACACGCTCGATAGTGTAGGCGTGGATTTTAGCTGCCAGTGGGTCAATGTAAATACAGACGATGGATTTGAAAATTCAGACGATTAACTATTTTATTGACAAACTCCAAAAACTGGCGAGGAGATCTTCTAGCTTGTCTCACTCTGCTCTTTTCACAGACACAAACACACACACATCCACAAACACACATTGCCATCGTCCGAGCACACACAAACACACACACATACCTCCTGACGACAGCGCACGCACACACACACTACCCTCGTCCACGGAGCTCCGTAAACAAAGCAGCACGCGTCGCATGACTTTGCACGCGATAAGAGAATATAGCCAGTTAACCTGATACAGTACACGCGGTTACAAGTAATAAATCACAACTAAATACTTTTGCAAGCTAGAGTCAACGAGGCAACAACTTTAATCACACGTACTTACACTTGAGAAATGGAGGAAGAAACACATCCTGACGTTTATCAGTAAGTTACTCTTTACTGATCCTTCCTTTAACAAACGCCGATGAAGTAGTCTGTGTAGCATGTAGTTTGCATAAGTTTCCAGTAGTTTCCAACTGCTTGGTTATAATGCTGATGTTTCATCTTTGGGTAGAGATTCGATAATATCCACCTGCAGTGTGACTTCAATCAACCGGCATGTTTGTGTGTGTGTGTTTGTGGGTGTGTGTGTCTGGGTTACTGCGTCAGAGGACGGGGCCTCAGGTTTGAAATCTCCCGGGTTTGCGTGTGCACGTGAATAACTTGGTTTCGTTCGTACGTCATGGCGAAACACCTAATGACTCGGTATCAAGGCGACTCGTTTGAAGCACTATGAGTTGACTCATTTATAGATGAATCAACCGTTTTAAACACTGTACTCTAACAGATTTAAGCCTTAGCTGGATACTTCACTTAGAGCTGTGTTACACACTACATGAAGGGGAATTTTCAAAAACCTATAATATGGGCTCTTTAACATTCAAAGCCATCCACAATCTCGCCCCTTATTTTTGTCTGCACTCATCTACATTTCTGTTCCTTCTCGCATTCTGCGATCTTCTTCTTCCCTCCACTTGTCTGTTGCCTCCTAGTCTTTCGTCTATGGGCAACAGAGCATATAGCCGCTGTGCTTCACGGCTTTGGAACTCTTTACCCCCTGCCATCAGAAACATTGACTCCCTTACACTATTCAAATCAAAACTCAAAACCCACTTATTTAAGATGGCTTTTATTACTTAATTTTATCTACACTATTGAAGTGTATATTTTAATATTTCTCTTGTTTTATTGCTCTTGTTGATTGTACGGTGTTCTTGAGTTGCCAGAAAGGCGCCTTAAAATAAAATGTATTATTTTTTTTTTATTATTAAACACAAAACACAATTTTTGAGCCGTTGACAGTCATATATGTGTCCCATGCTGCTGAAAACAACATTAGGACACATATAGCACAAAAAAGTGAAAATTGGTTGTTTTTGTGTTATTTTAAGCAAATTCGTTCTTTTGGTTTGAAAAGAAAATTTGAAGCTGCGTCACGGCCTAGTGTAAATTCCAGGGAAGAGATTGGATGTCTGTACCTGCTGGTACAACGTGACTTCTTTGTGTTTTGGTCATTAATATCATGTGAAATACTTTGTTTGGACTAATCAGCACTTTTATTGTGAAGAACGAATTTGCTCGAAATAACGCAAAAACCACCAATTTTCACTTTTTAGTGAAATATCTGTGTCCTAATAGTGTTTTTAGCAGCGTGGGACATTTAAATTATTGTCAACATCTAAAAGAAAATGTGTTTTGGTGTTTCATGACCCTTCAGGATATTTTAGATGAAATCTAAGAGCTCTAATTTTCCATAGACAGCAAGATTTGTTCAAAGTCCAGAAAATTAACAAAAAAAAAACATCCTCGAAACAGATCATCATGTCTTCAAATTCAATTAGAATGTTATCAAGCTATGGAAATACTTTGTGCATATGTAAAACAAAAATATAAACTTTAATCAATAGTGTTTTCTCATTGTCAGTTGCATTGTTGAGAGCACTGTGTGCACTTTATGCATGTAGATCTGTCGTGCTGCTGACGTATACTTTGCTTTTGCTTGGACCATTGCGGTCTATGGAGGATGAGGGAGCTCTCAAATTTCACCCAAAGTATTTTAAATGGCTCAGTGGGTAGCATTTACAGCAAGAAGGTCGCTGGTTCGAGCGTTAGCTGCGTCAGTTTTCATTTCTGTGGGGAGTTTGCATGTTCTCCTCATGTTGGCGATGGGATACCTCCTGTTGCTCGGGTTTCTCCCACAGTCCAAAGACATGCGGTGTAGGAGAATTGGTAAACTAAATTGGCCGTAGTGTATGGGTGTTTCCCAGTACTGGGTTGCAGCTGGAAGGCCATCTGCTGTGTAAAACGTAAGCTGGATAAGTTAGCGGTTCATTCTGCCGTGGCGACCCCTGATTAGTAAAGGGACTAAGCTATAAAAAAAGAAGAAGAATTTTAATTTGTATTGTGAAGATGAATAAAAGTCTCGGAGGGGTGGAATGTCACGAGGGTGAAAAAAATAGACAAAATTTTCCAATTTGGGTGAACAATCCCTTTAACAAGCCTTATATGTTACCAGATCTGCGTGAAGGAGTTTGCTGTTCTTATTGGTCAGATGAGGAGGAGATTTGGCCCGGAGAACAGCCCCATCTGCATCTGTGTCTTAACTACTTGGGGCTCTCGAAATGTCTGTGCTTCTGCCCTGAAAACTCTGCGGGAATGGGGCTTGGATGTGGACGAGGCGTTTTGTCTGGCTGGAGCTCCCGCTCACCCCATACTGTCCATAGTTAACCCCCACATACTGTGGGATGGTGGCTTTCACAACATGAGGGACTTGGCCACCCTGTCCTAACTAGGCAGGACGCACAAATGTGGCTTAACTTTTCTTAATTAACCAGGTGCCAATTCTATTTTATTGACGGTAGACTTGATTTCTTTTGTGTTCGCTAATCAAAATGTTCTTGTTGTAAATTAAAAAGCGTTCTTACGGGTTGCTTTGGGTTTAATAATGATTCACAGAACTGTATGTAGAGGTTTTAAGGGTTTATATGATGCTTTTCTATGTTTACAAAAATTAAAGTACATTGTTGACAGTCAGAAAACTACATATATTGTATTAAACAATTTAAAAACAAGTTGAAATACTCCTAAAAGCTACTGGAAATAAATGCAACGAGTACAAGACAACATACTGTATGAGCGAATTCTCCGCAAAAAAACATTCAGATCATTAGAATATATACACTGGACCCTAATTCACAGAGTTAGCATGCTTGCCCCAGCAATAGGGTTGAGCCTAAATGGCTTTTGATGAATTGTAATAAGGCACTAATATTAATTATCCAAAACAAATGTATGATATTATTACAAGGATAGTTCATCTAAATGATTTCTCCCAATTTTCTGTCTCGGCACCTCCGCAAAAAGGCGTCTTCTATTTTTGTTCCACTTTTGAAGCAAGTGGGTGGGTGATAATTACTTTTTATCGTCTTTTTAGGAGTTAAAACGAGCACATTTTGAAGCAATAATACTTGTGTATTTGTTCAAAGCATTAACATTATATGCATACTATAACGATAACAGTAATAGCAGTCATGCGGTAAAAATATTGCAACTAAAATAGGTGATTGTCTTTGGCTCAGCATAGAAAACAATCATATAGATTGAAAAAACACACCACAGTATTTAAAAGTAAATTGGAAATATCACAGGTTTGATCTCTGCTAATGGTAAACGCAGCATGTGGAAGTTAAACAATAATATAAAACCGTTTCAGAGGCTAAAATAAGAATATAAAAATAAATGTACGGTTCCAAATGAAGAGTTTAGATCAGGGGTGGGCAAACTCGGTCCTGGAGGGCCGGTGTCCTGCACAGATTAGCGCCAACCCTAATCAAACACACCTGCTTATAGATTTCTTGTGATCTTAAAGACACTAATTAGCATGTTCAGGTGTGTTTGACTAGTGTTGGAACAAAACTCTTCAGGGACACCGGCCCTCGAGGATCAAGTTTGCCCATCCCTGGTTTAGATGCAAAAACTTCGAAATGCTGCTTGTTTTCCTCTAAAATTATCATTTTTCTCCGACTTATGTGTAGGCTCAGTAATTTTACTTTTATAGTGACAAATAAGGTCTTTTCATTGCCTTTAAAGTAAAATAGCTAAAAGGTGCAGTAGCTGATCTTCCACAATGCTAACAGCTTGGCATAAATCTCGGAATCACAGCCCCTCCCCTGCCGTCTAGAGCCACGCCTCCTTAAACACGAGCACAGCAAAAGAACCCTCTCTTATGCATTAAAAGCGACTAGTGCTTGTCCGGCGGCGTGCAAGCAAAACTGACATGCTATTTCAGAGGGAATATTTAGAGTTGCATGGTAAACAATATAGGGAGAAACTAGGCGGAATAGCGGTGTTTACTTATGTTTTGTTATTAAACTAATTAAAATATACATTATCGATGCTGTTATGAAACTGAAAATAGTCTTATTAATCTTTCACAGGAAGATTTTAGTGTTTGAACAACACTTATGTGTAGATATAACTCTTTTGTAATAACAACATCTAACGTTACATCAGCTTTGCGTGAAGCTAAAATAGTTTTAAAACAGAACATTACCTGTCTAAGAGAAATTCTTCAGCCATGGTGTCCTCCTATCTCCAGCGTGCAAAGGTAACTCCAATATTAATTCAGGTTTTTAAAAAGTTTTGATTCAGCAGGTTTTTACCAATCTCTTTCTCTCGTAAACGCGCAGCACGTCTATGCACAAACAGCGGTCGGCGGAGCTGCTTACAAACGGCTGTGCAGTTGTTCAAATCTGCATTTGCTGACAGACAGTTTGAGCTACTTATCTGAATAATGAGAGATGTCGGCCTGACTCTATTTAATTGGATGAACATTTTTGGTTTTATGCCAAAAGGCTGATTTATACTTCTGCGTCAAACACCGATGTAGGCTTCGGCGCTGACGCATAGCCCTTCGCCGTGGCTGTCGACGTCACTGACGTGCACCTCTCAAAAAATGTAACTACACGTCGCAACAACGCGTAGCGCAAGCTCTATGATTGGTCGGCTTGGTAGCGCTGACGAGTCTGGGCGGGACCGAGCGATCTCAATGTAGCGATTGTTTACAAGTGTGGAGTTCTGCGAAGGAGCTCCAGATGGAAAGCTTTGTTTTGTGTTTACCTCATAGTTAAAGTTGTTGCACATTCGCCGGTTCCTGCCTCAAAATGAGCGAGTTTGAGCCACTTGTACATCCTGGAAGTGTTCAGGAAAAGCAAAAAAGCAGCGAACAAACTCGACACAGAGGAACATTTACACCTCACTGCCAACTAGAGTTTCGGAAGTGTTAATGCAGACCAACAGAGACAGCGCGCAGAAGTATAAATACACAGCCACGCGCGTTGCATGCGCCGTGGGTTACGTGGGTTACGCAGAAGTATAAATCAGGCTTTACCCAAAATATAAAAATACATACAAATACATTTAGATCATTACTATTGGAATGCGAAGAGACTTTCAACCAGCACAACAACAAATGCTCCTGAAGACAAACACCTACTGCACCTTTAACAATAAGGAGGCAAAAAAAATAAAAAATGCTCATTTTAGTAGAAAATATCAGACGGCATTTAGAGGTTTTTGCATTTGAACTCTTCAAATCATCCTTCATTAATGCGTTTTTAAGGAACAAGTAGACAATAATACTATAGATGTGAAAATCAGCATACCTTTTGTCATTTAAATTGTACGCAGCTCTTAGTGATCAAGATCAAGTCTTATCATGAACAGTACGGTTGTGTTTACGAAACCACTGAAGATCGTTATCGGCTTTAAAGTAGTATATGATCACAATAAATTCATCCAACAACATATGGAGAGGTTTTGAAATCTTCTATTGAAGTTATTTGCGGTCCTCAAACGTAGATACCCTCAGGATTCAGACCAGCAGAGATTGGACTGTGGAGTCCGCGGATGCTGCCAACCACCGGATGAGATAAACTTGGTCGTTTCAAAGAGCCGGTTAATGCAGCAAAGTCTGAGGAAATGAAAGAGAACAAAGAAAATAAGTACCTTAATAAAGATTTCAAGAACTGGCTCATTAAAAAAAAATTATATATTTCAACTGTATATATATATAAACAGTTGAAGTCAGAATTATTAATAGCCCCCCTAAATTATTAGACCGCTTGTTTATTTTTTCCCCAATTTCTGTTTAATGGAGAGAACATTTTTTTTAACACATTTCTAAACATAATAGTTTTAATAACTCCTTTCCAATAACTGGTTTATTTTGTTTTTGCCATGATGACAGTAAATAATATTTGAGTACATATTTTTCAAGACACTTCTATACAGCTTAAAGTGACATTTAAAGGCTTAACTAGGTTAATTGTAGGATAACTAGGCAGGTTAGGGTAATTAGGCAAGTTATTGTATAATGATGGTTTGTTCTGTAGGTTATCAAGAAAAAAATATAGTTTAAAGGGGCTAATAATTTTGACCCTAAAATGGTGTTCAAAAAGTTAAAAACTGCTTTTATTCTAGCCGAAATAAAACAAATAAGACCTTTTCCAGAAGATAAAATGCTAACACTTTAGCATAACTATACGTTATAACTAGTTAATAGACCATTAATAAACTGTTAGTTGATTTTCGCTACTTTTGAAAATGTTAATATTTTTCCCCAAACATATTAATTTGGGCTACTAATTTTGAACCATTATTTTAAGTTATTTTGGTAGATAAGCTTCAGTACTTACTAATCTAATCCATATACACAAATATAATATTATAGTTTTCTATTAGAAATATCAATTCAAAAGATAGATTGAGAGGGGTGTACTTATTTATGCTGAGCAGCACTGTAAACGAATTTAGTAACAAACATTTATGGTCTGACATTAACGAATAACACTTACAACGCCAACTCCAACCACAAGGTGGCACTTTGGATAAGTAAAACGAACAAAAATAGAAATCTTAATATAAAAAAAGTTCAGTTATAGGATGAAGTATGTTTTTTTAAGTTTGGTCTCTTTTGACCTAAAGTTGATATCTTAAGAAATGAGCTCACAGTCAGATTTTGTTTGGGTGTAGTACCAAGATAGAAGGCTCGTTTCAGTATTCCATTTAGTTTTTTATTATTATTGTAAATATGTACAAACTTGGTTCAAGAGAATACATCTCACAATAATTATGAATAATAGTATAATATTTAAATAAACATTTTATAATAAATAAATAAAATACAAATAAAATAAAATGAGAGAAATTATCTTAGTTATACATTCATTCATTTTCTTGTCGGCTTAGTCCCTTTATTAATCCGGGGTCGCCACAGCGGAATGAACCGCCAACTTATCCAGCAAGATTTTACACAGCGGATGCCCTTCCAGCTGCAACCCATCTCTGGGAAACATCCACACACACATTCGCACACACACTCATACACTACGGACAATTAAGCCTACCCAATTCACCTGTACCACATGTCTTTGGACTGTGGGGGAAACCGGAGCACCCGGAGGAAACCCACGCGAAGGCAGGGAGAACATGCAAACTCCACACAGAAACGCCAACTGAGCCGAGGTTCGAACCAGCGACCTTCTGTGAGGCGACAGCACTACCTACCGCGCCACTGCCTCGCCCCTTAGTTGTTGACCTGATTCTAAAATGCGGAAGTGCGCCTGTTTTCGCGATTGTCTTAGAACTTCCGATTCAGTCGCCTATGGGAGAAATGACTAGGAATAATAAACAGCGGAAAATGGTTAAACTTCTTGCTCAACAAACAAATGTTTGCATGACTATATAGACCAAATAGAATAATATAATAAGGAAATATTAGTTTGCAACATCAAACAGCGAAACGAGCAGTTGTTAATGTCTAAAAATGATTTGAAGTGAATGAGACCAGAAATCTCGAGCCAAAAGAATTCAAATGACTGTGCCCGCTTATCGGCAAAGAATAAGGTGAATACAATCAAAGTATAAACAGATTCCAGGGTTAAAAAATCAATACAAAAAAATAAAAATATTTATTTAATTAAGTGAAATTTACATAATGCTTAATTTTTTTTTGTACTAAACAATGACAGACAGGACCGCTTAGATGTATTCGGCACTGAAGTATGGTTTGACAATGATCAGCAGTGCTACTGATTCACCCTTAGTGATAAAAGACTTAGGGCCTACTCACACTATGCTATCCAAACCTTGCCCAGGCCCGTTTCCCGGATCGTTTGAGAAGTGAGTGCTCTGAATCGGGCTCAGACACAGTTCACTTGGCCAGCCCTGGCCCAGTTGGAAGAGGTGTGCCTGTGCAAGGTTCACTTGGGCTCAGGCGCGGTAAGCTTGTGTGTGTGTATGTGCAAAACGCGCCTAAGCCCGAAACTGAAAGCGAGAAGTGACTTTTAAGGGACTGTTTCATATGAATTTATTAATCTTTCTTACTGTTCAGTGAACACAAACTGCCGTAGATTATTAAATACGCAAACCCCTCACTGCACGACAGCTGCGCACCTTCAGCAAATCTCCTAATTCCTGCAGCAAGAGGGCTTTATGATTGTTTATGAGTGTCAAAAGTGGTGGATCTGTTCAGCCAAATATTTGACTGTGTCACTGCATATCAAACAACTCCAACGCTATAACTAAAGAAATGTCCACTGTGCTGAGCGAAAGCGCTTACTGAACAGCGCAGTAAGTGTGCCCAGGCCCGAATGTAATGCGAGTGCTGGCCATCGGGGGGAGACGGGAGGGGGGACAAGCGTGCTTTGGCCCTGTTCAAGGCAACTGTACATAGTGTGAGTACACCCTTAGTGACTAAAAGACTTTTAACTCTGTCCTGCTTTTTAAAAAGCAAATACCAGAAGTGCCTGCAGTTTTTTTTTTTTTTTTTTTTTGACGTGTAAATAAAAAGTTACTTGGCACAAACTGAAACCAGATGTGGTCTTGCCATTAATGACACTTGAAAAACACTCCTGTTACGCATGTTTAAGTTTTCGTCATCATTCATTCTGAGTTCTAACATCAATCAGACTGCATGGAGCCACTCTGAGCCACCATAGACTGTTTGATGTAGGTGCTTTGGATTTGTTGTCAATAAAAGCGGTACCTTTATCACCTGTTGTGCTACTGGATTCCTCATCACCGGGCTCGACAGGCAGAACCGTGACTTTGGTGCCGGTTTGTTGGATGAACTGCTGTAGATTTACCTGCCTCAACTCTTTAGTCAGCTGCTCCAGTTCATACTGACTCTCCTGTTGGAAAGAGGGTGGAGAAGGTGCTAATGAAATGTTTGCGTAGCGCTGCAGCTGGCATTCAGCCTGCGGCAATCCAATAACAACTGACTGTAAACACTAACCAGTGTACTTCCACAAAATTAGCTCAGGATTCCGAACACGTGTGTCATTTTTGCATGAACATTGAGAAATGTTTTAGGCAGAGCCCCACTGATTTTATCCTACCCACCAGATTATGCTACCAACACATTATTTGAAAGGTATTGAGGTTGGGGTAGGTTAGAGTGATATTAGAGCTTCAAAAGTAACACAATCTGATAGGTAGCACATTTTGACGTTAAAATGTGCTACATTTTGAATAGGAGGTAGGAAAATCTGACGGTTGATGGTAGGACAAATCAACAGAACACTGGCATTCATTTCTATCTTAGTGCCGATTATTTGTGAATCTACACTCATCGGTCACTTTATTAGGTACACTTGTCCAACTGCTCGTTTATGCAAGATTCTAATCAGCCAATCACAAGGCAGCAACTCAATGCATGTAGACATGGTTAAGACGATCTGCTGCAGTTCAAACCAAGCATCAGAATGGGGAAGTAAGGGGATTTAAGTGACTTTGAACGTGGCATGGTTGTTGGTGCCAGACGGGCTGGTCTAAGCATTTCAGAAACTGCTGATCTACTGGGATTTTCACGCACAACCATCTCTAGGATTTACAGAGAATGGTCAGAAAAAGAGAAAATATCCAGCGAGCGGCAGTTCTGTGGGTGCAAATGCCTTGTTGATGCCAGAGGTCAGAGGAGAATGGCCGGACTGGTTCCATCTGATTGAAAGTCAACAGTAACTCAAATAACACTTTGTTACAACTGAGGTATTCAGAAGAGCATCTTTGAACACACAACACATCCAACCTTGAGACGGCGGATGGGCTACAGCTGCAGAAGACCACAACGGGTGCCGCTCCTGTCAGCTAAGAACAGGAAACTAAGGCTACAATTCACACAGGCTCACCAAAATTGGACAATAGAAGATTAAAAAAATGTTGCCGGGTCTGATGTGTCTTGATTTCTGCTGCTACATTCAGATGGTAGGGTCAGAATTTGGCGTCAACAACATGAAAGCATGGATCCATCCTGCCTTGTATCAACGGTTCAGGCTGGTGGTGGTGGTGTAATGGTGTGGGGGATATTTTCTTGGCACACTTTGGGCCCATTAGTACCATTTAAGCATTGCGTCAACGCCACAGCCTACCTGAGTGTTGTTGCTGACTATGTCCATTCCTTTATGACTACAGTGTACCCATCTTCTGATGTCTACTTCCAACAGGATAGTCAACATGTCATAAAGCACGAAACATCTGACTGATTTCTTGAACATGACAATGAGTTCACTGTACTCAAATGGCCTCCACAGTCACCAGATCTCAATCCAATAGAGCACCTTTGGGATGAGGTGGGACGGGAGACTGGCACCATGGATGTGCAGCCAACAAATCAGCAGCAACTGCGTGATGTTATCATGTTAATATGGACGAAAATCCATATTATTGCTACTGGAGGAATATTTCCAGTAGCTTGCTATGAAGGATTAAGGAAGTTCTAAATGCAAAAGTGGGTCTAACCCGGTAGTAGTAAGGTGTACGTAATAAAGTGGCCGGTGAGTGTATATTGCAAGTCTAAGGGTGCTTTCACATCTGTAGTTCGCTTCATTTGGTCCGGACCAACGGCAATAAATGATACATCGTTGCATTTTCTGCCGTTTTTGGGTCGTTTTCACACCACACTGCTGGCTTTGGTCCGAACCAGTTGAAACGAACCAAAATGCACTCATTTGACAAAATCCACATCTCTCATTGGCCAGATGTTGTTGAACATATTTCCTAAACTGCTTATTGATTGGTAAGAATTCACGTGCGGGAAAATGCCAATGAACTCCCGCAGGTAAACAAAACCTTTTACTCTGGAGGGACGACTGAGCTGGCTGATTGTATCCCTGCTTTAGACAAACTATACATTTTAAGAATAAAGCACGGCCGCGGCTGGAAAACAGTGTTTTAATGCATCGCTCGTCACCTCAGGAGGAGCTGTGAATTAATTTAGCTAAACTGCAACATGGTCATCTTGTGGAAATATTACCAACGATCCATCAGGTAATGTTTTCCCCTCTCTCTCTCTGTTGGTAAAGCGCTGTCAACAAATATTTTCCCTCCATATCCCACAATGCACAGCGCATCAGCCTACGGCAGCTGAATTAGTCCAAAATGCGCAGTACTTTTTGAGGTTGGACCTGTTTTAGTACGGATCATATTCTCACCACAAACGAACCGCTCCAGGGTTCGTTTGAAAGTGTACCGAGACTACCTCTTCAAGCAGGTCTCGGTGCGCTTATTTGGTCCGCTTTTGGTGCGCACTCGAGTACGATTGCTGCATTCTCACCTGCCCAAACTAACCACACCAAAAGGGGAAACAAACTCTAGTGCGATTCAATCGAACTAAATAAGGCAGGTATGAAAACACCTTTATCCAGCCAAACATTCAACCATTTGTTAAAACTAAACAACCAGGATGGAAGCTTCTCTGGATTAATCATTTAATCCTCAACAACCGAAATCAACAACCCAATATTTGGCTGCCCAGTTGTGTCCAGTTAGTCCCTGCTGGTGGATGGAGATATTTTTGGATGCCTTATGAAAGTGTTAAATGCAAATAATCCCTGCTGCTTTTGACATCACAGCTCAGGCAAGTTGCAAATGGAAGACACTAGAAGGCATGTTCTTGTGGCGGTGTCACTGTCAGCTAATCGGTATGCCATGCCAGTCTGTCGACTTGTGGTTATTTTCTAGAAACTCTTCAGCAGATTTGAAGTCGTCCTCTGATGGGTTTAAATATACAGCATTTCCGAAAGAAATGTGCAGCAATCTTGACCAGTCTGCATGAAAACAAGTTTGATGCAATAAAACAGGCCTGTAACCATTGATGACATTGTTCATTACCTAATTATATTACAGGCAGCATTCTTAACTATAGCTGTGTCCCAAATCGCATACTTATAAACTATTCCACGCCATTTTGTTGTATAAATAGTTTAAATATTGCGTTCAAACTGAAAACTCTAAAAATAATAAGTGCACTTTAATTACCCGGATGATGCACTCATTCAGCTGGTAAAATGAAGTGTGTAATGATGGACATTTCACGCACTCAACGATCGCAGGTTTGCTCACGTAGCGGAAGGGGCGGAGCTATCGGGCGCACATGTTGGATAACTATTTCGGATGGTGAAAGCAAAATTCTCCTACAAGAGTGATTATAGCGCCTCCCGATGGTGATTGCGGTTATACTCATGGCAGGTTTTATATGATATTAGTTATTTATTTCACTGATTTGGCAACCGTCAAACGTCATCAGGGAAACGGTTTGAATTTCCGTTTAGTAAAAAAACAGTGTTCCATTTGGGACGACACTACATAAATATACTATGCTGTTGAGTGTGTAAGTGCATTAGTGCATAGTGTGCCATTTGAGACGCAGCTTATGAGAGATTCATGTCTTAATATTTTTAGACATTCAAAAGTTTGCTTGAGGCACTTAAACGGAATCTTAAAGGCATGTTTTAACATGTTTACCTACTGGTATGTCAAAAGACTTAGCTGAACGTTAATCACACATGTTAAGGTTTACATAAAGATCCAATTTTGATTGTCAGCCCAGTCACATCAAGTGTTGTCAGATACAGCTGACTTTTTCCAGTTCAAAAGCTGCCCAAAACCCACCCAACTGCACAAAAAAATGCCCAAATATTAAATTATTTAATTTTAATTTATTTAAAGCTTAATTGCTTAACTGTGAGCATTTTTTTAACCACACAGCAACCAACACCAGTGCTGCGTCCCAATTCGCATACTTATACTACGCCCTAAAAGTATGTACTTTTTTTGTGAAGGAAATGTTTATACTTTTGAGTGTGCAACAGAAGAGTTTGCAAGCTTTGGGACATACTACTTATCCCCCCTTGTCAATCATCCCCACATCATCCACATTTCTGTCGTATTTAATTTCCTTCCTTATTAGAGCAGCAGCAGCAGGTTAATCTCCCATTCATGAGTCTTTTATGCTGTGAAATCTCCTCAGATCTTTAGACAGTTCTGCATTCAGACGTTTTGACGTCTAAATGCGTCTTTAAATACGTTCAGTATTGTTGTTGCAGATGAAATATAACACAGATAATGTGATTTGAATATATTCCATAATATATTGACTTAGGGTGTTTTCACACCTGCTTTATTTATTTCGATTGAATCGCACTAGAGTTCGTTTTCCCTTCTAGTGTGGTTCATTTGGGCAGGTGAGTATGGAGAAATCGTACTCGAGTGCGCACCAAAAGTGGACCAAATAAGCGTACCGAGACCTGCTTGACCTGCTTTCGGTACGCTTTCAAACGAATCCTGGAGCGGTTCGTTTCTGGTGAGACTATGATTCGTACTAAAACGAAAAAACCGCAAAAAGTACTTTGCCATTTGGACTAATCCAGATGCTGTAGGCCGATGCGCTGTGCATTATGGGATATGGAAGAAAAATATTTGTTGACAGCGCTTTACCAACAGAGAGAAGGGAAAACATTACCTGATGGATCGTTGGTAATATTTCCACAAGATGACCATGTCGCAATTTAGCTAAATGAATTCACGCCTCCTCCTGAAGTGACGAGCGATGCATTAAAATCCTGTTTTCCAGCCGAGGCAGCGCTTCATTCTCGAAATGTATAGTTTGTCTAAAGCAAAGATACAATCAGTCAGCGCAGTCGTCCCTTCATAGTTAAAAGCCACATTTTGTGTCTGCCGGTTTTGTTTACTTGCAGGATTTCATTGGCATTTTCCCGCACGTGAATTCTAACCAATCAATAAGCAGTTTAGGAAATATGTTCAACAACATCTGGCCAATGAGAGGTGTGGATTTTGTCAGATGACTGAATTTTGGTTCGTTTCAACTGGTTTGGACCACAGCCAGTAGTGTGGTGTTGAAAACGACCCAAAGACGGCAGAAAATGCAACAATGTATCATTTATTACCCTTGGTGCGGACCAAATGAAGCAAACTACAGATGTGAAAACACAGATGTGAAAACAGTCATTCAAACGTCTTTACCAAAGCCTCTCTACTTGACGATTGGTCTCGCGTGTCTATCATGTTTGTAGTTTATTTACACTTTTCACACACGTTAGTAGTTCTAATCAAATTCTCTTCAAGCAGGTCTTGGTACACTTTTTAGGTCTGCTTTTGGTGCGCACTCGAGTACGATGCATTCACACCTGTTCAAACGAACCTCAGCAAGGAGGGAAAACGAACTCTAGTGCGATTCAACTGAATTCAATATGAAAGATAAATACAAAGATAAATAATTTTAAACAAGATTTAATTTTGCGTTAAGACCTACAACACAATATTGTAGTGAATTTAAGACATTAAGACTTTTTAAGTCCCAGCGGACACCCTGTTACAGGTGTTCAGCTTTCTTCAAAATATATTCTTTATCATTCGACAAAAGAATGAAGCTCATAAAGATTTATAACCAATTGAATTGAGAGTAATTTTCATCTTTGGGTGGATCTTTTCATTTAAGGACTGCTAGTTAACTGTGACATACCTGCAGTCTCCTGCATGACTCAGTCAGCGAGCGGTCCACTGCTCTAGAGCTGTTTTCAATCTGGGCCGAGTGTTGAGCCTGAACCTTGAGTTCTGCCTTCGCTCTCTGAAGTCTAGCCTTCACCTCCCCTTCACTAGCCTGCTGGGTCTCTCTGATCTCCTTATGTTGCCTTTGAGTCTCTATCCCAGCCTCCACACCCTGCAGAGTCCTCATCCGCTGCTCCAGATCCACCTCACAACCGCGCAGCCGACCGCTCAACTCCTGGATCCGCTCCTGCAGTTGCCTTTCACTCTCGAGTTCAATTTGGAGCTCGGTCGCCCAGAACTCCTCTTCCTCAATCTCCACCTTGTTCCGTCGCACTTGCTTTTCCAACCGTGAAACCTCTTCAGTCAATTTCACAAACATTTCGTTGTCCTCCAGTCCAACTCTTTTCTCAGTCAACATCCGAAGATCTGCTTCGTACGCCTCCATCCTGCCGTCTAACACCGAAAGGGTCTCCCTTTGCAGCCTTACCAGTTGAGTGAGATCCTCTATGCGGTTGCCTGATAACCGCGGGGACACTGCTGGTGAATTGCTGGCACTTCTTACTAAAACCTCTCTTTGTCTAGCGCTACTGTCACTGAGCCTGCCTCCACTAAGGATATCCCTCAGGCTGCGGGGCACACCGGTGAAGGTCAGAGATTTACGTCGTGGTTCTCGTCGGCGCAGGGAACGGTCGCCTGGAGCTCGGAGTTTGGCCATCAGGGGAAGGCTCTGCCGGTGCAGGCCACGCTCGGGGCCCAAAGGAGTCTGACATTCAGCTGTAGGGTACTCGTTGAGAGAGGGACCCGTGCGGTGCAGAATAAACTGCACATCACCAGCATACTGACCCCAAGTGTTCAGAGAGGCAACTGGACTCTCATGAGGAACAAGGTGTCGCTCTGTGTCCCTCCATTTCTCGATCAGTGTGTAGCGTCCTGTGCGACCTATGAATAAATAACAGTTACAGTGATAAACAAGACTGCTAATAAAACTGCTGTAACTACAGCAAGTAAAATTTAATTCAGGGTTATCTGACGTAGCAACAAGTAGCACAGGGGCACCACAAGGGTGTGTAAGTTCACCATTTTTGTTAACCCTTATACAAACGACTGCGTTAGGCAGCAGACAAATCAACATATTCTTACATTTTCCGATGACACTGTACTATTGCACCTTTTCACAAATGATGCCAGCATCATAGAATTTAGAGCGGCTGTAGAAATGTTTGTCAGCTGGTGTGATGACCACAATTTGGAAATTGACGTTAAGGAAACGGAGGAGGTCATCACTTACCCCAGGTCAGTAAGCGATAGGAGCTTTGTTGTGGTTTATGATAAAAACATTATGCAGCTTGATTCATATAAATATTTAGGGGTGAATATTGATTGTGAGCACTCCCAGGTGTCAAGTGTTTGTGCAAGAATTCATCAGCGTTTACACTTTGTACGACTAAGATTACTTGGAGTGAGTAGCAGAATAATGATAACTTTTTAAAGCAACAATAGAGTCTATTTTAAAATATGGGATTATTGTTTGGTTTGGGAATCTGACAGTAAAAATGAAAACCCGAGTAAATAACCTGATGAGAGTGGCAGGAAGAATTATAGGAATTAAGACACTTGGTTTGCTAAAAGATATCTTTAAGGTGTGCACAATCCAACAAGATTTTATTTGATTCTTTGCATGTGCTGTCTTTGGAGTATGATCTGATGAATTATGGCAGAAGATACAGGGTCCCGTTAAGCAAGTAAAATAGATATAAACATTATTTTGTTCCTTTTTCAATTAAATTGATCAATTAGCAAGAAGGGAAAGACGGCCAAAGATTAAGGTAACGGTATTGGTTGGCATAAGAGAGGGCAGTAGGGGCACATTGTATTTTATTTTTAGATATTTTTTTTTTTAATTATTGATTTTATGGTATCGTATTTATATTAGGAGGTATTTCAGGATCAGATTTTAATGTGTATGTATGTTACATGTTGTCTTGTTGGTGTCTATGTACAGCAGAATTTTTTTCTAAAACAAATTTCTCATACGGGAGATAATAGATTTTACCTTTGCCCCGTTTAAACTAGTGCATTTTAGTTTTAAAACAGCGTTTTAGATCAAAAACTATCCGCGTCCACACTAACGTTTCACCTAGCGTTTCTTAACATATCTCCGTCCACACTACGCCACCAAAAACGTATATCACGTGACCATTCACGCAGTTTGGGCATGCGCGTTTTAGTATGAACAGGAAGCATGTGTCTCGCTCGGCATTTGGTTATTGTTTGTCAACAAACGCCGGTTGAACAATGAACGCGATGGCAAAGAAAGCAAGAGAGGTATTTTTGTGGACAGACGACAAGGTCGAGTTGTTACTAAACATAACAAATGAATAACAGCACAATGGCGCCTAAAACAGACAATAGTGCAAACAACGCTCCCATTTCTGTGCCCATGTCGTTGTTTACAGTGAAGGCTGGTCTGCTGTCTTCCGGTAGCATTTAAGCCATGTGTTATAGTCATGTGATAGGGGCTTGACGAATAAGGGAAGGATACGCAATGACACAAAAGCGTTTTCAGATATCTCTGTTTTTCCCCATCCACACTGAGACGGAGCAGCAGCGTTTCAGAATGAAAACGGCCTCTCCAGCATTTCCAAAACGCTTCGTTTTTGGCGCTCGAAAACTCTGGCGTATTGTGGACGGTTGGCGTAACCGTAGTAATACTTATACGTTTTCAAACTAAAACGCATTAGTGTAAACGGTGCCCTTGACCTTAAAGGGTAGAGGTACAAAAATAGAATTGGGATTGGGCCTAAATGATGACAGGATTTTTATTCTTCGGTGAACTATCCCTTTAAGGAAATTTTCTCAATCCATTTCCGCTCTCTTCCACTCATCACTTCCCATCCTTCTCCATTACCATATAATTTGCTAATCTGCAAAAACCACCAAATATTTTTTATATAGTTAGAGTTAGGTTAGAATATTTTATTTTAAATGTATTTTTATTTTTTATTTTTTTTAATGGTATAGCCAGTTAATCTTTACCTTCCCATGAAAATAGATTACTCCCAAACCTGTGAAAGAGTACTCTCTTAAGAGATTTTACTTTCAGGAGAATGAGTCAGATTTTCCATGTCAGCGGGAACTTTGGTTGCGCCAGTGCTTTTCTCAGTAATACAAGAGGGGGCCCTTAGATTGTACCAGTCTGAGTGCAGCTGAAAATAGCATCAAATGGTGACGTCAACACAACAGGTTCGAATCAAAAACAAATTGCTTTGGGTCCCACTGGTGATGTAATGAACTGAATTCAGCTCGGTTAGAGCGTTCTTTTCCTGAAACTCCTGAAAATATGCCTGATGTCTTCAGACAAGCTGTTCCGCTCGTCTCAAGCTGCTGGAAAGCCAATACAAGCTCGCAGATACTTAATCTTCTTTTCAATTACAAAATGGATGATGATTACTTAATCAACCTGGGTGCCAGATGGTTTCAGCATTACTCAGAATTTATAGCATCTGTGTTAGAGACTACAGCTTCCATGATTTAAGTCTTCCAAACCACTGTTGGGGAATAACAACCCAAAAATAGCAACGCCACACATAGATTTCCATTATATTTAACAGATTTCAATACAGCATTGTTAATCAAATGGTTTTTATTTATTTATTTAGTCATATTGTGTGAAAAACTGTGCGTTTTGGGAAACTTAATCACTTTGGTGAATCAGTTTGTTTCATTGAACTACATGTTCATTTCAGCCATCACAAAAAGCCTGGCACAACTGCTACCCAAATGACAGGATGAAATTATGACAGAATTCATCCTTGGGTGAACTATCTCTTTAACACTACTTGAAATTGGCAGGAAAATACCTTTAATTAGATTTGGTTGCCCGTTTGTACTAAAACAGTTTTGAAGGCCTGAAAACTGCTAGCAAAAAAAAAAAAAAAAAAGCTAAATTTTGTTAAACACATTCCCACTTCAGTAATGCACAGTGTTTCGCAACGAAAACAGAGTCGAACAACAAAATTGCATGTGTGCTTAGTCTTTACTACTGGCATTTCTGGCATTTTCTCAGATCTCTGTGAACGGTGATTATTGTCGTCATGTACATGTGAAATTTTACAAAATGTTGTGGATGTTACATTGTTACACCCATATCAGTGTGTTAGAATTTGTCAAATTTAAGTCACACGTGTTTGAAACAACATATAGGTGATTAGATAATGATTGGATTGGATTTACTATTACAATAATTTCTGAATAACATGTTGATTAACATCAAGCTACAGTTCAAAGTTAGTTTCTTCAGCATTGTGATACTATTAAAAAACTGACATTACAATTTTTTCCTATTATATACATTTATATATGTATAAATTTTCCCCATATCAGACCCCCTAGTTTTTTGTGATTCCGCGATCACTGAATCCAACGCAAATTTAACAAAAAGTCGCAAATTTTTGCAACCCTGCAAAATTTTTAATGAAACGCAAATCAATTTAAATTTTCTCATAGAGCATCCAATCCCAAACCATATAACCAAATAATATTAATTTCAGTTTGCAATTATTTGTTTTATGTGATTTATCCAATTGTTAATGTCATGACTTATCGGTAAAGTATGGAATACTGTTTCTGGGTCCAAGCTGCTAGTCATTTCAATTAAGAAAATATTAATGTATGACCACGTTTTAGTCCTATCACACATTATTATGACCTATGAAAAGGTATAAATAAATGTTTGCAAAAATGTGAGGGTTGTACTCACTTTTGTGACATACTTATATATGTATGTATATATGTATGTATGTATGTATACATGTACAGTTGAAGTCAGAATTGTTAACAACCTTGTTTATTTTTTTCCTCAATTTCTGTTTAATGGAGAGAAGATTTTTTTCAACACATTTCTAAACATAATAGTTTTAATAACTCATCTCTAATAACTGATTTATTTTATCTTTGCTATGATGACAGTAAATAATATTTGACTAGATATTTTTCAAGACACTTCTATACAGCTTAAACTGACATTTAAAGGCTTTAATAGGTTAATTAGGTTAACTAGGCAGGTTAGGGTAATTACGCAAGTTATTGTATAAAAATAGTATGTTCTGAAGACAGTCGAAAAAAATAATAGCTTAAAGGGGCTAATAATTTTGTCCTTAAAATGGAGTTTAAAAAATTAATAACTGTTTTTATTCTAGCCAAAATGAAACAAACAAGACTTTCTCCAGAAGAAAAAATATCATCAGACATACTGTGAAAATTTCCTTGCTCTGTCAAACATAATTTGGGAAATATTTAAAAAATAAAATAAAAAATCAGAGGGGGTGAATAATTCTGACTTCAACTGTATATGAGACTTATATATTATATATCATATTATATATAATACATTTCTGGGAATTGTCGCCATCATTTTTAATTTTTTTTATTTAAATTATTATTTATTAAAATTTATAATATTATATATTATTTATTATTATTTAAATATTTTTATTTTAATTATTTTGCAAATAATTTGTGAAAAACTATGGGGTCTGCCATATGTCTTAAATAAATAGATTTATTTAGAAATATTTAGTCATTTTTTATTATTTGGGATGATTTTGTAACAATTTACAAAACAGAGATAAAATAAAGATACAAATGAAATAATCAGTGCTTTATACAGATTATTTCAGATCTGATATTGAATCAAATGCAAATTAACACTTTATAATCTTCATCAGATACAGTATAATTCATATAATATTTGTTAGAGCTACAAACATTATAATGTATTGTGTCTAAATGAGTTAAGTTGACTGGAAATGCTCACACATTCGCAGGCCTTATGATAAACTTTCACTCTATTATGGTTAAACTTTGTTCAAAAACTTCAATTTTAATGTGGAAGCAACATATTGCACAGCACTAATGTGAATCATATTAAAGGAGCAACTTTATAATGAGACTTCCTACCAATGGCTTGAGCCAGAGCGATGACCACTTCCTGGCAGGTGGTGGCCTCTGTGACCCCACAGACCACACGCTGGACTCCATCGACCCACACCTTCAGTTCCATCCTGGGTCAAACTCTGCAGGGTCTGGGACTGCTGGTCTGTGATGTCATTTTGTCCTGCTTCAGGGATCCAGCGCTGCAGCTGTCAAACTCTCATAACAACCCTATGAAAAGCACAACACCAGTTAGGAAACACCTGGGCCAGATATAAACACAGCTCACTGTTTTACGCTGATGTTAAAACGTATTGGCATTTTAAAAACTTTTCTGAAGTAAGTTAAAACTTGTATGTCTTTAGTTAAAATGTTAGTTTTTAAGAGAGACATGTTGGATGTACTTCTGTTTTGTCTGCAGTTGGTCCATTACACAAAGCTATTGTAACATCATAGGCTCTATATTACCAAAATTTTTATTATTTTACCAAAAGTGCATGATCTAAAGCAAAGACTATAGAATACACAAGACTCGTGTAGTTTTGAATGGGGAAAAGTGTAACAATCAATATGTCGAATTTTACAACGCCGAACGAATCAAGTATTAAAAACTTCGTCCGTCAGCGGAGGTCCGCGAATCGATACCAGGTGAAAGTATAAATGAGGCTTCATACTTCAGCCTCCACATCAAAGTTTCTGAAAGCAAAGAAGTTCAGGATTGACGCGCAATTTCCAGGAGATTATCACTCATTTGCGGGCATCATGGAGTCTCTGTGCATTTGCGGGAGACTCTCGAAACCTCCGGGAGACTTGGGATGTCTGGAATGACCTCCCGCCCTACACATATATCTTTCTTCATATAGCCGTATTTATAGATATTACATATCTATAAAACACTGTGATATAGCTGGGCTCGGATCGTATCGCTTTCTCACTACAATCATTCCGCTCCAGAGTTCGTTTCAATCAAGCTGAGACCACCTCACTCAGGTGATCTCGGACCAGTTGTTTTGGTGCGGATCCGAGCGCGATTGCTGGATTCACATATGCCAAACGAACCACGCTAACTGGGCAAACAAGACAGGTCCTGAAACGAAAGTCTAGGTGTGAAAGCACTCTAAAGGCCTGTTTAAAGACGCTCCGGGACGCTTTTTGCTCGCTTTTTCTATCGTCGTTCATGGCCTTGTGGCTAAATTAAGGGTGTCAATGTGATCGTGCACACCAATGCGCAAAACGCCAGACATAAAAGCGTCCTGGTGAGTCTTTAAGCGGCCCTGTAGGGTGCTTTCACACCTAGACTTTCAATTCAGGACCTGTCTTGTTTGCCCAGTTAGCGCGGTTCGATTGGCATATGTGAATCCAGCAATCGCGCTCGGGTCCGCGCCAAAACAATTGGTCTTTTAAAAAAAAAGCTGCTGTCACACTAGAGTTTGTGTGTGCAAAAATTCTGTTGTACGATGTTGCAAAAAAGGGGCGGGATTAAACAAGATTATTAGACATTAAAAAAAGCAAGCGATTGCTCCATGTTTTAAATTTCTGTCCAGAGAGGTCATGTTTTGATCATCGATTGGTCTCACACAGTCAAGTGATGCAATTTCGCAGGTCAGAGTTCACCAAGCTTGAACTTTGCACCGCAGCGAAATGCGAAACTTAATGCATGACCCTGCGACTCCGGTCTGAAGCATTCGCGTGCTTATGAATGGAAGTCTATGGGCAGAAAAGTGAAGTGTGACCGCAGCTTCAAGCTCAATTTTTTGTTTTGACGCGCCACGTTAAAACCTTCTCCACCAATCAGGTTGCCACTTTTGTTCAGGTGCACGGAGCTGCTGAAGTTACATTTTACAGGACTGGGAGGCTCTCAATCAATCAATGGAGCTGCTTACTGCTCTGGTGAACAATAATCATTTCTTCATCGCTAGAGCTGGAGCTGCTGCTTGAACCATCCAAAATAACAAGCATGTCAACTTGTCTTCTTCTTCTATTACAAGCGGGTGTCAGAAGCTTAAAGTTGTGTAGCGCCATCTAACGTCAAGGAGTGATTTTTGCATACTCTTCTGCTCGACACCAGTGAAAATCGCTTGGGTTTGAATCTGGAAAAATATCTTGAAAAACGCTGACGATAAACGCAAACGAAAAGCATCCCGGTGTGTGCTAGCCTTAACACTCACTGCATTTTAGCTTTAAGAAGCCACAATACAGAATATTAACATTTTAATTTACATTTAGTCACTTAGCAGACGCTTTTATCAAAAGCGACTAACAAATGAGAACAAGGAAGCAATTTACACAACTATAAGAGCAACAATGAATAAGTGCTGTAGGCAAGTTTCAGGTATGTAAAGTGTAGCCAGAGAGGCAATTGCAGATTAGGAAGGGAAGTGGAGACTAAATAGTTGAGTTTTTAGTCATTTCTTGAAGACAGCGAATGACTCTGCCGTTCTGATTCAGTTAGGGAGTTCATTCCACCAACTGGACAGATTAAACGCGAGAGTTCGGGAAAGTGATTTCTTCCCTCTTTGGGATGGAATCACGAAGCGACGTTCATTCACAAAACGCAAATTTTTTGAGGGCCTATAAATCTGCAGAAGTGAGAGCAGATAAGGAGCAAAGCCAGAGGTCGCTTTGTAAGCAAACATTGGAGTTTTGAATTTGATGCGAGCAGCAACTGGCAGCCAGTGCAAATGGATGAGTAGCAGAGTGACGTGCTCTTTAAGATTATTGCAGACCACTCGTACTGCTGCCTTCTGAAGCAGCTGAAGAGGTTTGATAGAGTTAGCTTGAAGCCCGGCTAGTAGAGAGTTGCAATAGTCCAGTCTGGAGAGAACAAGAGCTTGAACAAGGGGTTGAGCTGCATGTTCAGATAGGAAGGGTCGGACTTTTCTGATGTTAGCGAGTGCGAATCTGCACGATCCAGCAGTTCTAGAAATGTGGTCAAAGAAGTTTAGTCGTTCATCAATCGTTACTCCAAGGCTTTTCACAAGGTATCATCAGCATAGCAGTGGTAGGAAAATCCATGTTTCTGGATGACATCCTAAAGATGTCGTGTAGATGGAGAAGAGAAGTGGCCCAAGAACAGAGCCCTGTGGTAATATCGAGCAGAAGCTTGAATACAAAATCAAATTCGCAAATTGCAATTGCAATATCTATCAAAAATAAATAAAAATAATCACACAGCCCTAAACAAGACAGTTAATATTTGAGTACACAGTGTTTTTAACCACCCTCTTTAACAGTACTCCTGTGCTGCTTTATTTTTCCTACAACAGTTGTACTCGCTGTTTTCAACTGAATGTTCACTTTTAATTAGGTATAGAAATGTCATTCATGATTTGAACTTTTTTATATACACAAATGAATCTAAAACGCATCTGTCTAGAAACAAAGAGAGGTGTTATAACGAGCGTCTTTCCTAATCAAGAATGCTTTGTAAAAGGAAACGACTGTGCTATTAGCAGGAGACCTCTGTGCTTCCAGATGGACACATTTCCTTCCTCAGATCCCTGACGACCTGAACAATCAGCTCTTTTTAAAAAACAAAGAAACACAATGCTGCAGCCTTCAAAATGATTCAGAAACACCCCCACCTCACAAACGATCCTAAAATAGCATATTTTCCAAGAAACGAATTGGCCGTGAATCTGCGCTTTTTGTGGAGGTGTGCCGAGGGTGTGAAGAGGAGGAGGAGGAGAACTCGAAAAACAGTTGGCCGCAGTGCGGACGTCCTGCTGGATACAGTGAGACCAGCTGGACCTGACATTATGTTCCTCCCACTTTTGCAAACAGGTACAATTTTAGACAGGCTGGCAAAACATGCACGCTTGAGCAGATTTTCAGCTTTGATTCCCTCTGCAAAGAATATTCTACACATACCGTCATTTATAATAGTCTGCGACTGCTGCACGATCCATTTGCAGATTTATTGAATCAGTGCGGCTAATAAGCCAAAGCAAACAGTTAGAGGCATATCCAAGATAATCAACATAAATCAAGCTCGACAAATCAGAAAGACATAATGGGATGAGGGGAATCCAAAGAGAAAATCTAGAGGACACACCAATAGTAGAACAGCACCCCGTTAGAGAAAGAAGAAATGGCAAAAAAAACGGTGGTCTCATATCCTGATAATGAAATATATCACAAAATATTGTTTTAATAGTTCATAGACCACATTTAAAGGAATATTTCTTTCTTACATTTTAAAATACATACCCAGAAATCTACCCATTCCCAATTAAGCCAAGATTCTTGCAAAATAACAAGTGAAATTAATTTGACTGTCATCTTGTAAAAGATAAAACAAATGAGTTTGTAGAACTAAGTTATTAAAAATATTGTATAAAATGTGTTGACAAAATCTTCTCTTTGTTAAACATTACTTGGGAATTATTTTTAAAAAATAATAATTATAATTTTGCAAGAGGTAATCATTTTAACGTCAACTGTAATGTTTTTCTTAACTTGTTCAATAATGTTCATATCTGGTGACTGGGCTGGCCAATCCCGGAGCACCTTGTACTTGTTTGCTTTCAGAAATTTTAATGTGAAGGCTGAAGTATGAAGCCTGATTTATATTTTCGCCCAGTGTCACGGACCTCCGCTGACGGACGAGGCTTTTAATACTTGATGCGTTCGCCATTGTAATATTCTTTAAAACGACAGGGGGCGGGTCAAAAGAAAGTGAACGTAAAATCAAACGAATAAACAGAGAAGTAGGAAGTTTCCGGAACTACGACATATCATTAATTTCATTCAAGATTTTTAGACTTATTATTTTTTACAATTATTTAAATGATTAGTACGATTTTTATAACCATTCAAGATTTCTTAAATCAAACGTTAACTCCGAAAACTGAACTGCACTGTTTCAATTTTCTACAATATTCTATGTTAAGCTGCTTTGACACAATCTACATTGAATTGAATTACATGCATTACATGAATTTCATACATTGAATCACTTGCTTTTGTTTTTGTCTCAGACAGTTCTACCTTTTAAAGTTTGTTAAAGTATTAACAACAGCATGGGTTGCTCTATATCAATCAAGGTCGACAAATCAGAAACATAATGGGATGAGGGGGATCCAAAGAGAAAAGCCAGAGAACAAACCAATAGTACAACAGCACACAGTCAGAGATGGGAGAAATGAGAAAAAATCTGTGGTCTTATACCCTGATAATGAAATATTTCACAAAATATTGTTTTAATAGTTTATATGTAGACCACATTTAAA